TATCTGTTGAAGAGCGATTGCACAGGCAGGCTCCTCTGCGAAAACCGTCGTTTCTTGGATATCGACGATGAGATCGAGAGGGCTCCGCCGCCGCCGCCACCCATGGCACCCAGGACAGCTTCCTAGAACTGACGAGAGACTCAATACTATTCCCGCAGTGACGACGATTCCTCATAGCTTTCCTGTGTTTTATTGTTTATTACGTATATACCGCCCTTGTTGATTGGTCTCATCACCCATCACATTCGCTACTACCACTAAATTTACACGTAAAATATCCAATGTCCTCCAACTTAGTCTGTCTCATCCGTGTGGTATCCTGCACGTCTCATCTGGCCCAGTCGGTGGCGCGCAGCTCCCAGGTCCTTCTCGAGCTTCAGAATCTCGACCTGCTGCTCCATCTCCCGTTTCTTGAACTCCAGCACAGCCATGTTCTTGTAGTCGACGTCCTCCTCCTGCGCCTGTCTAGCCGACACAGCTTTGACCTGACGCACCAGAGCTCGGCATGCCTCGGTCACAGCCTTGGCCGCCAGCTCGAGCCGCTCCTGTGTCTTGGACATCAGGTTGGCCTTGACCCGAGACGCCGCAACGAGCTGCGCGGTGGCAGCCGCGACTTCGTTCGATGCCACAATAAGCTGCTCCAGCGAGTGTGTCCCCGATAGAACGCCGTCCGCACTTTCAATGAGCAGGTTGGTCGAGAACGCAACCGACTTGGCCGCAGAAAGAAGACCCTCGGTCCACCGATTGTTCCTCTTGTAGAATTGCTGCGTCGAGCTAGATCCACGGCCCTCATTGACGATCTCTTGCTGAGACTCGGTCGCAGCCTTGATCAGTCGGGCGATAGCGCTCGTGATGGCCATCGCAGCCGACAAAATCGAATCGTGTACTTGCAGGTCGACCGCACTGAAACGGGAAGCGTCGCGAGGTCTGGACATAAGTGCTTGGAGACGCTCAGTCGCCAGCTCGATCGCACGAGCTGCACTAGACATCTCTTGTTCGACCATGTCGCCGATATCGCCGTTGGCACGCGCAGCTTTGGCTCCTTTGGGACGAGCCCATCGACCACGTCCGATAGCTTGGTCAGCGCTCCACGAGCCTCTGCACCGTTGCGCATCGCCACTTCCCGCTTCTGGCTCTGCTGCAGTCCACCCAGCTTGAACGACTGCAAGTTGAAGAAGAGACGGGCGCCAACGTCTCCTGCCGTCCGGGCGACGTTCAAGATCCGGTCGACCGCGTCGTCATCGCTAGCGAGGCGGGTAGTTCCTTTCGTGTTCACGAGAACCTCGCTCAGAGACTGGGCAAACTCGTTTGCGGCCTTGATTACTTCGACGTGTTCTCCACCTTGTTCTCCTCCGAGGTATAGATGGTACACTGTGGCAAAGTCCGTGGCGTTGTTGACCGCCTTCTCGATCATCGACAGTGTATATTCAGGCGTCGCGTTGGCGTTGCCAGTCTGGGACGGCGACTCGAGCTCATAGATGGCATCTTCCACTTTCTGCATGCAAGCCTTCAAGATCGAATCTAGAAAGCCACGTTGTAGAAAGCCGATGGACTCGGAAACGCCGGCACGCACCGATGATCTCATTCAGCTTCTTCTGGTTGTCCAGAATCAGAGTGTCGATCTCCGTGTCGTTAGCACCGCTGACGTCCTTCAGTGCCTGTTACGTGCATCAGCGCAAGAAGCAGACGGGGCCACGTGAAATCGGTATGACCATTTGGGATTCTTGCAGACGTTGGATGGTATCGTCCATGCTTGCGTTAAGAACCAGAATTTCCTCGTCCTTTTCCTCGCGCAGACGGTCCATATCCATCTCGGCACTGCTAACCTTCGCGAGAAGATCATCGATTTGAATTTGTTTGGCCTAAAGTAGTGTGAGAACGACTGTCACAATGAAGATACCACCTTACCCGAAGCGAATCCTCCAGCTCCTGGATCTGTCTGTTGTATTTACTCAGAACACTGGAAACCTCGGAGTTCCGAGAATGAGCGGCATCTTCCGCCCTCTCATTGGCAAAGCTAAGATCCCGTCTGAGCCGATCAATCTCGTCCTTGTGGTTGGACTTTTGGCGATCCATGTCAAATCGAGCTCGGTCGCGTTCTCGGAGCATGTCAGCAAGCTCCAGGTTCTTCGCTTTCAAATCGCGTTCCATTCGCTCCATCTTGTCGACCGCTTCTTGAGCAGAGTTGGCCTTCAGCTGGAACTGTTTGAATTTGGCAAGCATGTCCAAGTGCTCCGTCCGGAGCTGGCTGTACAGCTTGGCAAGAGCCTCGTACTTGTTCCTCCACAGCGTTACTTGGTCTTGCAGCTGCTTAATGAGCTCGTCTTTGCCAGCCATTTGAGAGCCAACATTGGCATTGACAGCAGCCAACTCTTGTTCCAGAGCTCGCACTCGCTGTGGAATATGATTCAAATCTCCGGGTGTCGGGGCGAGTGGTCGCACGCACCTGGTCATAACGCTCCAGGAACATCTGGTCCCGCTCCCATTGGCCACGCAGAGCAAGTAGCTCCTGCTCGAGCTGGCCAGCGCGCATCGCAGCTTGGTCGTTGTACACTTGCTGTTGCTGTTGAAGCATCAGCTGTTCTTGAGCCTGTCTCTGAGCTTCGGCCTGTCTGCGCTGCATCTCTTCAAAGTCTCTAGCCTGTTGCGCCTCGCGCTCAAGCCGAGCCCGCTCTTCTGTCTCTCTGCTGGCAGCAAGCGCAGCCTGCTGGTCTTCGTATTCCTTCAGCATTCGAGCCTGTTCGTTGACAGTTGCCGCATCGGGAGATGGCGCAGGCGGCGGGGACGGTGCCGTAGTCGTTTTTGGACGAGGAGGAAGGTCTGGCACATCTCCGGCATCAAGTAGATTAGGAGGTTCCTGGAGGGAATCAGAATGATTCCGGCAGGGCTATCGGTGTCTTTACCTGGGCAAGTTTAGGAACATTGATCAACCCAGTGAGATATTTGAGGTTTGAACATTCATAATAGAATTTGCGCAAGTTGTAATGTTGAGAGACATATCGCTGACGAAGAGGTTCAAGAGCATCCGCATCGTTAGTTCCTGTGAGCTGTTCAGTGTCAGGCATTCGGGCATATAACAGGCGACGCACGTCTAATCATTGCACGCATCATACTCGTGATGAACCGATAGATACCCCAACTCTCTTGAACAAGCGGCACCAGTGCAGATATCCGGCATTCGTTGTTGGAAGAGTGGTTGAAATGAGAAAAGATCATCTTTTGGAACGAGTCGATCTGGTCTTGAAGCCCCATCAAGTCGGATATCGTCTCGTACCTTGTACGGTCAGCTCTGGTGCTTGCTGAAAAGCGAGGTGCCATACTCACCCTTCATTGGGATCATCGATTCCTTTGAGAGTGATGTACTCTTCGTACTCGAACAATCCGTTGAACTCCGGTCGCAGACGATGAAACCTGAGCTTGGCCAGAATGTACTGCACATAAGTTCGGATCAAGGGAGCGTAGCCTAGACCGGAGTGAGGGACAGATTGAGAAAGACGACCATTGCACACACCTCGCGAGCCGTCAGATCCCAGCGTCCGTGCGCAAGTTTCAAGCCAGGCAGTTTGGCCGTGGGCCTCCTTGATAGTCTACGCAGCATGGTTAGGGTGTCGACCAAGAGAGCGTGCATCCAACTTACGACAGGATGTCCTCCTTGCAGAACCTTGTGCACGGTAATGAGAGCTTTGAAGGTCTGCACTTCATCCGCGAGGATGGGTTGGACACGGAGGCCACTCCAGAATGAGATGGATGTGTGATAGTCCCATGTAAACACGATACATTCTGGTGATTATGGTTCGTTAGAGCAGGCGCGATGTACCCGACACAGACGTACTCCGGACATGTTTCTGCTTGGGCGCAGTCTCTTCAGGACTGGTAGCCTTCTTGATGTTCACCACAAGTTCTTGCTCGGCCTTCTCCTTGTCCACAGGACGGGTAGGATAGTGCATCTCTTCGTCATCGAAGCCACCACCTCTTCGACCAGAATTGCCGAACCTGCCCGCCGTGAGTCCGACCTGTTTCAAACAATGGTCGGTGAAAGGCTAGCGTACATGGTGGAATTATAGCAAGAGGGAGGAGGAAAGAGGGAGGAGGAGGTTTTGCGGAATTCTCTATACGTCACGCGGCATCAGCTTGCCTCAATCACTGACCATGCTCAATTCATTCCTGCATCGCCCGCCGCAGCTTTCTAAATGCGCAGCACGCTTTCGGACGCGTTTAACATCTATCAAAACCCACGCGCGTTGGAATACAGTGGATGCCAGCAATTACCAGCCGCGACGGGAGTCCTGGATCACACCAACGATGCTTCTCATCGGCTTCATGCCAATCTTCACTTTCGGCCTGGGAACCTGGCAGGTCCAGCGGCTGCAATGGAAAGTTGCGCTCATTGACGAATTGGAGGAGAAACTACAACTGCAAGCCTTGGCACTTCCCCAGCGAATAAAGTGCGATCATCCGTTCGTGCAATGTGAGGCCGACCAAGTTGACCACTTTTCGGCGGTGCAAGTCTTTCCGTCATCCCAGAGTTCGTATACCGCAAAGTCTTTCTGAAGGGGAAATGGGATCACGCTCACTCCATCCTCGTGGCTCCACGAACACGCGAAGGAGTCAACGGTGCTAATGTCCTCACACCCCTGGTTCGCGAAAACGGCACGACTGTCATTGTGGACCGAGGATTTGTTGCCAAGGATATTGACCTCAAGTCTATTCCGGAAGAGACCGGCGAGGTTGAAGTGGTGGGATTGCTGAGGCTGTCTGAAGTCCGCAATTCCTTCACTCCAGACAATCATCCGGAACAAGGCGAATGGTTCTGGAAAGACGTAGACGCTATCGCAGAATATGCTGGTGGTGCTGAGGCCAATGTCCAGCCTGTGATGGTCGAGCAGATATTTGGTTTGTCGAAGCATCGTTGCCTACGATCCACATCCTAACTCGCAGACAGATGGCCACGAAGGCGAAGCTGGTAGCCGAATAGCGCAAGGAATACCTGTTGGACGGAGAGCACGGGTGGACTTGCGGAACTCTCATCTTTCCTACGTCATCACTTGGTAAAGTCGCTCTACTTGACTAGAAGAAACTCACTTCCGTCAGGTACTCGCTGTCTGCTCTTACTGCCTTCATGTTTGTGCGCGTGATGCTAAACAAAAAGAAGATTCGGGGTCGCGCTATGCCTCGATAAGAGTCGGCCAGTACTACATACTGCAATCTCTATTGCTTACCGTTCAATTGATAAGATAAGATAATCCTCACGTATAGAAGCGATCTCAGAAATAGAGAGCTGCGAATATCATTATATGATAGCATATGTATGTTGTATACATATGACCCTGCGCAGCTGACTGCTGGGGGCAGACTCGGGGGAAATCAATCTTGGGATCATATGGGGACAATCTACATCTCCGGTTGGGGGCATGCCACTTGGGAGGGGATGCCTTTTCGGTGGATTGTCTACGGTAGATCAGACGAAGCAGTAGGCAGACGATGATCCAGCTCAAGGCCGGCCATGAGCCGATCTGAACGGAGACGCCGGCGATGGACAAAGCACTTCCCACGAGGCAAAATTTCCATTGTGACCCAATCCGGACGCAGATGCATTGTCGCATCAAACCATGGACCCGACCAGATATATAGCGTGGTCCATACAAGCAAGAAAACTCAGTGCTCGCCGTCCGTCAAACACCAAGCAATGCAGTATGCCACAGTCCGCCACCGTGCCTCACCAGCACAACCGCCGATTTACGCTCCAGACAGTCGCCCCCGACGCAACACTCTGGAGCCCATCGGGCGCCCTCAGCAAGTGATGCAACTCATTCGGGCCGAGCAGCAGCAGCAACTCGGCTACGAGTTCATGGACGATCGTACCAACTTTCAACGTGCCCAGAGAGCAGCAGGTGAGCAGCAAGCCTGCCGTTCTCGGTCTTGACACGACAAGGTATTGATGGATCGACGCAGAAGAACGCATTCATCACGATAATGAGCGCGCGATCTGGGCCCAGCGGCGGGACAATGCGCGCAAGGCCACGCGTGCCTACCAGGCAGCACAGCAGTTGGGACCGAACCTGCCACGGGCAGATGGTGGCATCGCGCCTAGTGCCGTGTATGTATTTCCCCGTTCTCGCAAGATGCCGGATGATGTTCGTGCCAAGGAGAAAAGTAAGTCTCTGAGTTAGATCATGAACGCGTACTCATCATCATCCTGATTCAGGCCGTCTACAAGCGTTCTGCTTTCCCAGATCCAAGCTCAAGACACCGGTGCTTCAGTCAGGTCTCTGTCATCAGCCAAAGATTCTGCCGAAACCGCCTCAGCAAGTGCGCTTCGCTTTCGAGCACAAATCCCAGAATCTTCCTCCGCCCACCATTGCCCAATGCTCTCCTTCCAAACGACTTGCACCCATTCCTCCATTCAACCCATACGTGCGCCCACGTTCAGAGTCCATGTCTTCTCTAATTGAGAACGAGATTCCGCGTGAAACGAAGGGGCGGAAGCGGAATGCGTCGGTGTCTGCTTTGTTTGCGCGTATCAATCGAGAGGCAGAGAATTATCGATTCAAAGCAGGCAATGGAGCGCGAGTTTGAGAGGGAGGGGCGATAATAACGGTCCGCGATCTGATAGTGTAATCTCCTAGGTGATGGGGTTCCCGGATAGTTTCTAGCATAGTTTATGGTCGTGGCAGTGAAAGGAAACATGTAAACGCCGCCATCACTGCATCAGCAATCGTTTCTTGTGTTGCACTTGCATGGCCGACCCAGAGCCGCCGCCTTTGCATGCACCCTCCGGTCGCAAACCAGTTCGCTTCCCCGAGGCGGGAAGCTCTCAACTCCAGAAACCGTTGCAGACATCTCCTGCAAGACGACACTCCTCCCTCGCACCAACATCCAACATATCACATGCCGCCTCCACTTCTTCTGGACGACGACGAGTCGTTTCAGTCCATCCGCCCGGGTCAACTCCCAAATACCAGAGATCGAAGAGGTCTATTAGCAACAGCTTCGTTCCCTCGCAGTCTTCGCTCCGCGAAGGGTCACCATCATTGGTAGAAGACTCGGGAATCAGTCTCTTCTCTGACGAGTATGACCTGTGTGCGTTCCTCCTACCAGTTGGTGTTGAAACCAATACTGAATGCATCCAGCGCACCAAGGTCCGCATTGGCTACGAAGCATCCTTGCATGAGGTTGACCAAATGTCCCGCAGATCCCAGGATCCTGCAAGACGTCCAACGAGCTTTGAAACTCAAGGCCCGCAGAGAAGCGCGTCTGAAGTCTTCCGGCTCGCTTGCGACATCTCACAAGACCGATGCCGTCTTACCTGCCGTCTCAGGCAAGCCGAACTCCCCCACTAGAACTGCGTTCTCCGCCACTGTATTCCCGTCGCCGCCTGCTGCAACGAACGGCTCTCGTGAACCCCCAACACACACAAGTGCCTCGAGCGTGCCCAAAGTGTTGAGTCTTCTACACCCTGTCCCTGCCTCGCTGGACGAGGGTACGACGCTCGACTGGACTGGAGTTGGATCGGACGACGGGCCGTCGGAGCGGCGTTGGACCTTGTCGATAACAAAGCAGCGGAAGGAGAAGGATAAACTTCCTTCAAGCAGTATTGTTGAAACGAAGGAAACCATGTATGCAGGTGAGTGGTAGGTGTTCCAGATTCGTTGTAGCCATACTGAGACTATTCAGCCAAACTCGATCAGATTCATTCAAAGCTATCACAGAGGGCTACCGAAAAGGCTGCTGTTGTTGCGGAACAGTTGGAGCGGCGGTATCATCTGCTATATAACTCCCTCGACAGTGGACCTTTGAATCCGTGTAAAGTGCTGCAATGGTTGGATGAGCAGGAAGACGCTGTCAAATCAAACTTGGAGCAGGCAGAACTAGCTTTGCGAGTTGAGCCACGCAAGAACAAGAAGCGCTCTAGGTGGGAACTATCTGCTTTCGTTGTTGAAGAATATGCTCTGGAACGCCGTGGGATGGCCCGGGCGCCTTCGACTAGTGATCCTTTGACATCTATCACCTCGTCTCCAAATATCCCCTTACCATCCCCGATTGCGTACTCTTCTCCACAGGGTTCATCTTATTTCAATCTCAGCCCTGCTCTGTCACGGCAGATGTCTGCAGAAGGGAATCCCTTGGAGCAACAGGTCGGATCAGGCCGGCGGTCTTTCGAGTCGCGCAGGAGTGGCGAATCAGGATACAGCAGCATGTTCAGTGGATCGTCTCTTCCAGTTGCTGTGCCCTATTCTATCACTCCAGCACTTCATCGCCGAGTGGACAGTGATAATGCCTCATCCAATGACGAGCACTCAGACAGTGAAGCGCGGCCTAAACGACCTATCCTTGCTCCAGTCCCTCGCAGTTCGACCTTGAAAGCGGTACCTCGCAATCTTCTATCCGATCTCAAGCCCTCTTTGTCTCCTATTCCGGATGACCAGCGATTAACATCGCCCTCTGTCGACAGACTGACCGTAGAGATGCCGCAGACGGCCAGAAACGTCTCATTCGGTCGCAGCAGCAGCAGAGTTCGCATAGCCATACCATCCATGGAAGACGTCCGGGAACAACAAGAGAGCCGTCGACAGCAAGAAATGGACGAAGAGGAAGCGATTCGTGATTACGAACGCAAACGCAGGTTGGCTTGTCTTGTAATGGACCCAGTCAGTCCGCTGACGTGTTCGCGTAGGTTACTTGAAGTCGTCACTTTACAGAACGGCCGCGTGAGAAACATGCTGAATCACATCGCTACCAGCATTCGCGATCATGAGGCAGCTCAATCAGTACTCTCAAGTAAACTGAATCTTCCGCACAAAGGTCTCTCGCGAGATCTGATGGATGCATTCGGTCACGACCCTTCGACGGTAGTCGGCAATACCCGTTCCTCAAAGGGGTGGCGCGCTGTCGAGGAAATCCATTCTCGGCTGGCGCAGCAACGCGAAACGTTCCGGCACTTTCATGCGCATATTTCGAACCGCGAGATCGATTCGGGTCCAGAGAGTGTGCTAGAGGACAAGATATCTTCGCTGTCGCAAGCCCTAGAACAACTCGAAGTGGAGCGACACAAGTTCTCAACGAAAGCCCTGGCTGCAGCTGCTCTGCTACAGAAGACTCAGACACTGCAAACAAAGGTCAAGAGCGAGTATCACTCGACCCAATCCCATACCTCGGCGGGGTACCCTGAGGCAAGTGTTAAATTGATGATGGCCTGAACGTTGTCACTAACGGGATACCCCGCAGATCTCCGCAATCATAAATCTGGAAGAGAGTTACAAGGATCAGTATCAGGTATTCTGGGAATGGGCGATGGACCTTGCCACCATCGTCCTCGACGTCGTTGCACCCTTCTGGAGGAACTACGGCAGGGCGATTGTCGACGACGTCCAGCATTTTCTCATCATCCCTCTCTACCGTAACGAGTTCACGGGTGAAACCAAGCGATACGCTATCAAACACTTTCCGCGCCGATCCCTCCGCCATTGGGTCTGTCTCTTCCTGCTCTTCCTGGGGACGGTCACGGTTTTCTTATTGAACCTACGGTTCGCGCTGTATTGGTCTTCGAACTTCCGACTGGTTGGTGTGCCCATGCGCACGCTTGTGATCCTGCCCTACTGGAGCTTTCTTCTCTTCCACTGGTCCGCTGTCTCATCGGAGCTCGCGATCGTATTGACTCAGCTGGCTGTCGTTCTTTGGTGGCTCGGTTGGTCCATTAATATCTTCACATGAGCATTATCTACACATCGGAATATCACAATAATTGTACACTAGAGCATTTACAGTATCAGATAATACTATGAGCCAGGAGGCTCGGGCATGGTAACAGACACTGCTTGTTGTTGTTGATAACTGGCGGGCTCTGATCCATAGACGTTGACTGCCCGCCCGCTGTCGACGCACGGTCGACAGAAACCTAGCCGATGTGAGATCAAAACCAAGGGGTGTCATTTCAATGGGTACGCACGACCGCCCAAGATCAGTGGAACGTCGGTTTGAAGGCAGGATAGACAGCGGATCGTGACTGGTGGTTGCGAGCTACCCGGCTTTGATAGATGGGACCTTTTGGCTTCAGGGAGCGGTGTTTCCGAAGGTCGTCGTTGAGGTACTGTGGATGCAGGAGCTGTGGGTGGGATGTTGAAGGACAAAACCGAAGGCGCCGGTGCTTCGTTGGCTATGACGGGGACCGGGGGCTGAGGACGAGGCTGAAGTTTTCGCTTGGCTCTGGCAGCCCATTTTGTGGGCTTGATAAGCTTCATCGCATGAGCAGGATTACTCCCGGCCTAGAACGCCATTCGCATTTACAATGTCGGGTGCACAGAGACACTCACTGTTCGCAATTGAGCGATGAGAGCTGTATCAGAACTCCGGTTCTTCAGATACACTCTTTTCGTCTTTTTCTGCGGGTTCGAGTCAGAAACGATGTCAGAAAGCGCAGAGAGAAGAGACACTACCTCCAGCTCATCCAAAGCTATCGCATTTTCTCGGATCTTCTCCTCACCCCCGATCCATAGCCTGAGCATGTCCCAGATCCCTTCATGCGGTTGTCTAAGCCATATCGTGACGACCTGAGGTGTGGGTCTCTCCGTTCCGGGTTCGGTCGACACCTTCGTAGGTGGATCGAGCAATATCCGCAACAGCACATCACAGACCTCATTAACACCCAAATGAGGGCCCTCCACTTTATCGCAGGTGGCGAGCTTTCTGGGAAGCAGGGACTTGTCGTGCAGCGATTCTTTGAAGTTGAAGATGATATCGAACTCCTTAGTCGGGACCGGGACGGGCGGCTGAGGGGGTGGGTAGCCATATGTCTGAGGGGCTGCCGGCGACGCGGAATACGGGGCGACATGGGGAGAATCGGCAATCGACTGGATGAGCAGGCCGAGCGTTTGCATTTGTGCTTCGGTCGCTCTGCCATTGGCAGCCAGCGCCAGCTGATTGGCAAGAAGAGGGTTGGAGACAGCCGCTGCGTGAACACGGTCAAATAGAGAAGGAGGCATGACGTTCGAAGGAGGGTGAGCAGGTGCCGGAAGAGGATTATGCGCTCCGTAGTATGGATGGTAAGGATGCGTCGGAGGTGCAGATTGCCACGAGTATTGAACTTCGGAGAAGCTCGTCTCAAGGAATGAATGCGGTCCAATTTCCATTGTGCATCTATTTCGAAGGCGATGTTTGAGAAACGAGTGCAGAGAAAGATGCGACACAAGTTGAACACACCTGCCCCGAAAGATCCTCGTGTGAGGCTCGGGTCCACGATCTTTACCTTGAAATCTGGGGAAGATGTGGTATATCCAACGTTGTCGCGCTACTTGGTTTCTCAGAGGCGATTCACAGACAGAGCCGAGCCCTCACATTGACGCAACGAGTCTCGGAGGATACCACTAATAAACCGGCATTGAAGGTTTTATGAAACGAGAGGCGATATGTGTACCTGTCGTATACGGTGGCAAGTTCCTGTCCCTCCTCTTCCTCTCGAATAGGTCGATCTTGTACAGGCAACTCAACAAACATAGCAGCAGGGGAAACCTAAGAATCGACGGGTCGTACGTCAGTGGCTGGGCATTGTGGTAAACGCGGTCATGTGACAAGGAGTAAAAGGGTGAAAACATGTATAAACGCAAGATTACGCGATTACACCGTCGTTTCTAAGTTTCTGGATCTGTTGGGGAGTGAGATCCAAGTATGTCGCGAGCACTTCGCTAGTGTGAGCCCCGAGGTCAGGTCCTGCCCATCTTGGTGCAGAATCACATCCTTCCAGCACGGGAAAAGTACCCGGCATCTTGACATCCCATCCTCCGGAGTCGACTTTCACATCCTGAATTGCTCCTCTCGAAACGACCTGCTCGCTGCTAACGATCTCGCGAACACTGAGAACACGGCCGACAGGAATCTTTTCCGCTGCGAGCTTCTTCTCAACTTCCTCAGCACTCAGATTACTTGTCCAGGCCGATATGGCTGTCTCGATCTCCTCTTTCCGGGAAACACGATGATGGTTTTGAGCGTAGTCGGGCCCGATGAGGTGCGGTGCGCCAATGACCTTCATCAAACGAGCGTAGATGGAATCTCCATTGGCCCCGATCACGATGTAAACGGGAGTCATTGGGGCAGCAGGGTCAGGGAGACACGGATAGGCATTGGTTGGGACAATTCCAGTGACGGAGGAGCCAGAGGGACCTCGAACCTGCAGGAAATAAACAAATTGAACCCAAGCGTGCGGCAATTCATTACTTTGTTCTTCCGATCATACTCCGGTACGATGCCTTCCATGAGATTGAGCATGCTGCGCACGTTCAGGGGGCATAATACTTGAAGCAAGCGCAGACGCTTACCTTTCAAGAATGCTCACGTCTACAGTCATCCCACCCTTCTCACCCACATCCCTTTTCTTCTGCCTTTGCAGAAGAGCAAGAACCTGGCCGCTACTTATCAGCCTGCAAAAGGCAAGCGCAAGATTGACTGACCGTCCCAAACGCAGCATGAAGACCCGCCACGGAATCGCCGAGGCTGATGTTCGGTCTTACCGGTGGGCCACTCAGGCCCCCAGTCTCCACGTCCACAAAGCCATTGATGTAGCGAAATCCTGACTCGGCCTCGCAGACAGACGCGTATCCAGGTCTCGATGCCCAAGGACCAGTTTGACCGTAGCCACTGACGCGAGTGTATATGAGATCTGGGTTATGTGGGTGCAAAGACGCTGGATCTAGACCCCACTTCTCGAGGGCTGGAAGACAGCAAAAAGCGTCGTATCAGCCTGTGTGAATCACGCAAATCGCTGAGCTTACTGCCCGGCTTGAAGTTTTCAATGAGCACATCAGACTGTAGTGCAAGGTCCCGAACGAGGCTATGTCAGATGGGCTGAGCACAAGAACGAATGCAATTGCGGTCTTACGTACTCTCTTCCCTGCGTGCTGTGAAGATCTATGGCGACACTCTTCTTGTTCCTCCCAATAGAACGAAACCAAGGACTGACGCCGTCCACATCTAGTTCACGCCAGACTCTAAGCGGATCTCCCTTTACAGGAGGCTCTATCTTGATTACTTCTGCCCCAAACTGACTGATTCTTGGATGACTGAGCTTGTCGGATGGCAGAGCTGTTGGCGCACCCGAGAAGTTGGCCAGCAAATGGGCCGGCGATGAGCTGCCCTAGCTCGAGGACACGAACACCGGACAGTGGTAGTGTGCTCGTAGAGTACGACCGTCTCCGAAGAATATGGCCGAGGGAACTCATTATCGTTCAGTGCGGGGTAAAGTACCGGTAAGCAGTAAGCGGCTTTATGTGAGATAGCGATGGCTGTGCTCTGGCTGTCAATTGCATTTTGGTCTGTTGACTGCTCCTGCTTCTCTCTTCGGCCGATGACTTCACGCGTCCGTGAGTAGTCTCAGGATCCATGCTGTACCGGCTCTCAGATATGAATAGAAAAGGGAGGTCCTGTCTTCAGGCCAGTCGTCAATGCCCGGTCTCGGGCCGGGAGCGCCATACCCAAGCGCGCAGCTGCAGAGAATTCTTTGTCGACACCAGATGCATCTCTGAATGGTCGCCCTTCCGATCTATCCTCGGAAGCTTTGTCGATGCCCCCTCCGCCGTTACCGTCTTCCACTAATCCCTCCGGCGATCAGACCTCACCAGACCTCCCACCACCTGCGACAACGTCCGTGGCCGTCCCTATCGCGGCACCGTCGAGTTCTCGGGCAAGCGTGCCTCCTTCCATAGTCTCTACCTCTTCAGCCGCTCCCCCCGCTATTCGTGCCACTGTGGCACCCCCAACTGTCATCCGAAGCACCCCTGTACCTCCAGCGATAGGTCGGGGAGCACCCGTTCCTCCCCCGATTGGCCGTGCAGCGCCAGCTCCCCAGACCATTGGGAGATACAGTGCGGCTATTTCCACCACTCCGGCATCGACTGAGATGCTTCCACTCACCCCGACCCTCGTCAATCCGACTCCCGCTGCGAGCGAGGCTGAGACTTCCCAACTACAGCCTGAAACTTCGAGTGTGGACCCTCCGGAGGCGGCGGCAGCGCAGGACGAGCTTACCAGTCCGGTGAAATCAAAGCTACGGAAGCGGAGACGCGCTGTGGCGAATGTGGATACAGCGGATGATGGCGATGAAGCGCCAAAGCCGAAAAAACGCAGGAAAAAACTCCCTGAAGATGGCGATCGAGAAAGGCCCAAGGCGAAACGAAAATCTCGCAAGAAGAATGTGGAGACTGCGGACGGAAACGAGGAGGAGAACGCCGGCAGCGATACGCCAGTGCGTAAGAGGTCACGGAAGAAGACGACACCTGTCTTTGACCCCGAGGCTGGTCCGGGAGACGAGATCGATCCGACTTTAATCACCATGGCTGACCTATGCGACGATACCGGCCAAGGTCGTATCAGCAGCAAAGCGATGGAGATTCAGAAGAACCATCTGGCGTGGAAGCAACAAAGCAAGGACAAGCGGGCGCAAATGCGCGCCCTGGCCGAGCGCAAGAAGTATGGAAGACCCGAGGAGGAGGATGAAGACGTCGCTAATCCCGCTGTTTCTGCGACGGATATGCCCTCAACCGAGCCTACCGAAGTCATCGTTGGATCGAACAACGACGGGAACGACGCTGAAGTTGATGATGCGGCACCTGTCATCGAGGACGAGTCGGGCAATGGGTTCGACTATTCGCAGAGTCTGGCGGTCAACCGTTACGCGGTGCAACTCAGGCTCGGTCCCAACGGCCAGACGATCATCGACGAGGACTCGCTGATGGTTGATCGTGCAGAGGATGTGGACACGTCGAACTACGAGCACGTCGTTGAGTCCGACGCCACCAAGTTCATCAATTCAGCTTCTTACACGAAGAAATGCCGTGGCTCTCGCTGGAGTACCGAGGAAACTGAGCTCTTTTTTGATGTGAGAAGGGTTATCTCGGGGTTCCCGCTGTACCTGACTTGTCCCAGGCACTGTCTCAGCACGGCGAGAATTACGAACTCATATCCCTAATGCTTCCTGGTCGTAGCCGAACAGCGTGCAAGAACAAGTTCAAGGCGGAGGACAAGAAAGACACGGCGAGAATCAACCGCTGTCTAGAGAGCAGAATCCCCGTCGGTAAGTTGTGGACATTTGGTCAACGGCCACTACCTCACACTCACTGCCGCAGACATCAAAAGCCTGACCAGCATTACCGGACGCGACTTTTCGGGTCCAGTCCCTGTGTTCCGCATTCCAACGCCTCCACCAGTTGCTCCTAAGGAGTCTCAATCGGTTGAACCGGAAGGGCGCGGCAGCTCTGTTCGCAAACGAAGTCGGAGTCGCAGCAAAGCACGGCAGTCGGGCGCTGAGGAAGGGTTGGAGATCTTGGGCGATATCGATTCCTACGAGAATATAACGGAAAGCATCGTTTGATTATGTCCAGTTTATTGTACGATTCTAGTGAGGAAACAAGGCAACCACAGTATTGCCTCCTGCAAAGTGATCCTGAGTCGAGTTAGAATGTGTTAGGGGTGGATTTTCCAGACGCTCACGATCACAGAGACGAAATCAGGGGAAATGAGGATGTCGCGTCCAAGATGGGCTTCTTCCCAGGTGACAAGGAGACAGAGCCCCATTTGGGGATGCGTGATCCTCATGTACCGTCTGAAGGACAGTCCGTGGCTGCGATACTGAGTGGGATTGAACTACGGGCCGTCGGCGAGTGAGCTTCGGTGTTTGGGTGGAGAGGCGGGATCATACCCTGACGTGATGCTGCATGGTCACATTGTCGGCCGAGATGGATAAAATGGTAGGACGAGGAGCGGGGCGACGGTGCGATTGTCTGGGCATTTCGACGAGAGTGGGTTGGAAAAAGCGTGCGGAATCCCTCCATTTTAACAGTATTTAGTTCCATGCGCTGGGACCAATGGGGCTCAATATGAGAACAGGATATCCCAAAGTGGAATTTAGCGCGCACCTTCTCTATCATCCCTGGAACTCCAAACCGCCGTGTGCGTCAAGGTTCGACAGCCGCAGACTCATGCCGTGCAACAAACCCCGAGGCGGAACACGCTCCAAAAAGAGAGTAGAACATGCTGGCATGGTTATCAGAAGTCTGTTGTTTCGGTGAGTATACGGCAACTATTTCCTAGAAGGAAGGTGCTCACCTTTTTCATACTCTCCGAGGAACAGACCCCGTCTCGTTATCCGCAACACAAAAACCGACCCTGAAAGAATTTCAGCGGACGGCATCGCTTGGGTGGAACTGAGCGCTAATCCACTGATTTACCTTGCTGGCGTGGCCGACCAAATCTCGCACGATTCCGTGCGTTCTGGACCTCTCCCAATACTGGAAGACAAATCTGCGCGCACCCAAAAATCTTGGCTGGCTGGTGATATTGGCGACTTTGCGCTGCGGCTGGGAAATGCTCGATTCCTCCTCGTCTCGCCAGCCCGTTTGATGAGCATCTCTGATCACTGCAAGTCATCGGCCGGTTTCGGAGCCTAAATATGGTCACGTGGGCGTGAGTCATTTGAATACGCTTTCTGAACACAACCATCTCACCAAAATTGGAATAACATCCAAGATATCTGTTAACAGGATGAGAAGCCACAATGCACCGCCGTGTGATCTTTTTTTCGACCATTTGCGCATCACCGACTATCTGCGACAAGTCTCGACAACTCTTCAAGCGCTTGATCGCCATTCTCGAAGATCTCGCAAAAAGCACTAGACAATCCAAGAGTCGCCACAAAACCGCCAGTTGAATCAAGCTCAGAATCGACCTTTCATCTTCGGCATCGTTCAGCTCCTGTCGAAATTTTTGAGAAATACGAACCTGATTGTGAATCGTCTCGGGCTCAGATATGGCAACAAAGCTTTGGAAATCTACAGTCAGCCTCCCAGATGCACCTCCGACAGACACCGATAAAAATACAAGGATAGGGAAGGCCACGAGCCGTTCCATCCTTGAGCAAGGTCAGTCGGAATTTCATCTTTCTGTGTGAAATCCAGATCATCAGCTGGAACGCCTCGGATGAAGAGCAGGTACAGTCTCCAGGCGCAGGCCTGCGTGAAAATCATCCGAAGATATGCACGCGGATACTCTGGCGACTGTTGGTTGTCGCGCATGATCAACTCTCGGTTTGCCCCAAACGACTGGCTGGTTTTGTTATGAGCGAGACAAAGCGCAATCGAACAGCAAGAGATTGTGTCAAGAAATCGACATGGGTTCCATGCGACCGCAGTGCCAACGAGGTTCAAGTTGCGGACGATTTGAACTGGAGAAGAAAGCGACAGAAAGATTCTGTTTGTCGTGATTTGAAAGGTGCAAACGGTCAATTCAAAGTCCGCCCTCGTTCCATCCTTGCCCACCTCCTAGGGTTATCTTCATTGTCTGCAATTGTGGCTTTTTTCTTCGACTTCGACTTCAAGCTATTCTATTTCCTTGGAATATTTTCAAACTATTGGCTTCAATCGCTATCAATCACATCAACTCGCCAAGTTCTAACAGGCTGAGGGACATATGCTGGGACGTGAAGGATCGGAAATCACAGGTTCGTTGGGTCCCTACAATATTTTTCTCGTTGAAGCATTCTCGCTCTTCTCACACGTCTCCTATCTGACATTTTCTCGTGCTCGCCCCTTGGTATCTGGTTCTTTCCATGCATGAGGGTGCTCTGCGACGTGGAATCTCAACACCAACAGAATCGGTCAATGAAACATTGCCAGATCAAGACACAACCTTTTGCCGCCATTTCCAACTTCAAGATTTGACCCACCGCTCTCTCGTTGCGTCATCTTCCAGCATGACTAGCATAGACTCTCACAATTCATCGGCCTCCCTTGTCTCAAGCAACAGTCGTGTTCATTTCAATGACGAGTTTCCTCAACCGCCCCTCAGCGGTCGGCCCCGCCGTGTAGATGATTCGACTCAGCCCTATAAAAGTTTCTGAGCTTGTTCCAGGGAAGCCAGCCGTATCCCAAAGTAGCCCAGAGCAAAGGTGCTTCCGATCGCCGAAACTCCTTCGATCTCTTTTGGATTGTTCGCGCTCAAAACCCTTGATTTCCGGTCACCCGATGCTCATGAAACTCTAGATGAATACTTTGTCTGCTGCTACAGTCGCTGATAACACCGCTAGTGCCGTGGAAGATAACATCAATGTGTGTTTCTCCTCGGAGTCTCCCAATGCGTTTGACCACAACACCAGGTACTACCTCAACCTTCTCTCGGGCTGAATGCTCTGGCCATTCACGATCAGGTCCAGAATAGCCCGACAAGCAAAGCAAGCCGTCAATCAACCAACTTCATTGTTCTCAGTCCTCGACAGACCGAGGCCTCGCTCAAGTCTCAAGAACCTGAAGACAAACAATTTCAAGTTCTCTTGAATGCAAATGAGACCACCAAGCAGATGTCCCATATCTGACATGTTCTCTGCCATGTATTGTAGAGTTCGGCACCATCATATAGGGGTATACCTTTATCAGAAACATGACGTCGTATTCGCGTAATTCTGTCAACGTCACCCGTAGAATTTTCCACGCCCACGATCAGGTCGCACTTGGATCAGGCTGGACTGCCCACTGGGTCACACCACGACCGCGAGGCCTGGTTGACGCGAAGTGGCTCGCCCGGACCCTATATGGCCAGCGGTAAGTCGTCTTTTGGAGTTTACGAGCCTCGTGCCGTTAGATATGCCCTTCTATCCGGCCCACTGCCTTATCCTTATATATTGTAATCGGCATGCTGAAGGAGTGATCGACTGGCGGAGCCAAAGCTCCTCTGCTTGTTCCATTGACCCATCCTGCTTTCGACCATGACCTCTTCGTTGTCTATATTCACCTCTAATGCAGTTTCCTTCGTTTCTTCTTCGCCAAGTTCTTATTCTCTTCGCTCCCGGAACACCTGGCTGATATAACAACTTCAGTCATTTCTGCATCGGCACTCTCCAGTTCAGAGAGTGCGAGCGCAAGCGCGAGCAACAGTCAGAGCAGCGCGATCGCGTCGCCAAGCTCTTCTTTATCGGCTGCAGCCTCGCCGAGCATTGCGTCGAGCTCGAGCGCGGTTGTCTCATCCTCGAGTGTTGTTGTTCTACCTTCCTCATCGGCATCCCCGACGTCAAGCTCTGTGCCGTCCATCTTGTCATCGAGCACCTTTTCATCCTCCATCACGACCTCAAGCTCATCACTTACTTCGACGATACTCACGACTCCTTCCACCAGCCAATCGAAGACCACCGTGCTGTAAGGCACTCTTCTTCTTCAGATACGCGTGCTTACCTAAATGCCAGCTCTGCGTCGAATGGGGTGACTTTTACGACTATAGTAGAGGTAAATGAGCCGGTAAATTCACCGACGCGTTTCTTATCTTCCGCAGGTGACATCGACCTTGCCCCCAGGATCGACTGCCACCTTCGCAGCAAATGCAACTCCGAAGCCGGGATCTCATACCGGTGCAATTGTCGGTGGTGTTGTCGGAGGTCAGGGCACGATGCTTCTGTTTGAGCTCCATGCTGACGGCACTTAGGTCTTGCTGTTATCGCCGTAGCTGCCGGAGCGTTTCTGTGGCTCAGACGTCGCTCACGAGACCGAGACGAATTCGACGGAGATTTCGACCCTGTCCGAGTGGGCACTGCGCGTCCTGCGTCTGGCGGACCTGAAATGGCTGCACTGGCTACAGGAGGAACTTTACCTCAAATGAACATTGATGACGAGGAGGAGGACGACGGCATGGGGGGCCGTCTGCCCCATAGCACTGTTGGCGGCGGTATCGTCACACCGTTCACGTACACGCCAGCTCTTTCGTCTTACGGGCCCTCTACTCGATCCCAGAGCCCGCCTATGCCCAGTGCCTCTCCACCCCCGATGTCGCAGTATTCTCAAGATGGATACCAGGCGACCCTGAGCTCTACCGGTGGCTATTACAATGCGGTTCCGGAACAAGCTCAAGCTATCGGTGGTTACTATCCTCCTGCCCCAAGCAGTTCGGGTTCCAGCAATCCGAGGAGCACCAAAGAAAGAGAAGCCTTCAACGGCCGGCGAAGCGCTGTTTTCGCCGTGGCAAACCCGGATTCGAGGGGCATGTACGACGAACAACAGTACCAGGCTTACCTTCAGTCGGGACCGCAGAACGGCCGACCGGGTTCATTTGCTGGTTCTTTATCCCCACCGCAGTCTCCTGTGGCTACATCCTCGCGCGGTGTCATTGTTCACCGGGACGGTGGTCGGGTCGAACCGGATGCGGTCGCTGAGCGGGACCTCGATGAAATCCCACCCACCTACGACAGTCTCTCTGCTGGAGACAAAAAATAGCGATATGATTACCGCACTTCACCATTCGACTTTGCTCTTTCCCACCATTCACTACGTAGAGGAACGCTGTAATAATTCACGCACAGAGGACCGCATTGTAATTGTATCTATTAGCTCTATCTTACCTTTCGCTTCAATTTCTGACTTGAAGCGCTAGCTTTCAGTCCTGAGACAGACACCATTGGCATCATATACTTACGGCTGAACAAAGTCCAATAACCGACTTAAACGGCAGTCCAGACCGCCCCAGCTAGCGACGAGATGGTTTCTGGCATAATTGCTCAGACTCTGGATTGAACAGGGGTCACTCAACCTCCGTCAACGTGGAGGCTCAGCTGCGCCGAGGGACTGACCGCCTCTCAGATCTAAATGCTAATCCTGATGCCAACACTCTCCTTTTTAGGCCCGCGATTGCCCGTGATCCGACGCTCCCCGCTAACATAGTTTGACTTGCGTTGGGTGCATGCACTTGCGCTGTAGTTCCACGATGTGCCGCTATTGAATGGGTTCAGAGAATTAAACAATCTCGAGGATTACTAGCTTGCGATGGTCCTTCCAGGCTTCCAATGCTATAATCACTGATATCGAATATGTTTGCGAGCGCACGTTCTTCCATACTGGGTACTGATCTTGACCTGGACCATCCGAAAATCTGAAGGACACATGTTGTGTACCATGTGGGCGTCGGGCCCATCGGTGCGCTTCAACGCCGCCTGTTATATATATACGTGATTTTTCCACTCTGTCAGGGACAACATCCCCGCGATGCAGTCCTCCGTCCTTTCCATCGCTCCCTTGCTGGTGTCGGCCGTGCTTGCAAACCACCAGGTCTTGAATACCTATATGAACATTTCTTCATGTTTGAGTCAGCCTTCGTTCTACTCTTGCGAGAACACGACGTCCATTGCCGACACCTGCTGCTCCCCGACCCCCGGAGGGTCCGTCGCTTTCCCTTGCGACATCGCGGGTTCTGCTAACATTTCACTGCTATCTTGCAGACTGGTACTTCAAACGCAATTCTGGTCGACCTGGACAGGTCTTGAGCATGAAGGCCAACTGCTCCCCAAAGCCAGCTGGACCATCCATGGCTTGTGGCCAGACAACTGTGATGGGTAAATGCGCGCCCGTTCTATCGTTCAAGCACTGATGTGCGGGCTTCAGGTCGTTCAACAGCTATTGCGATCTCAGTCGTCAATATGACCCTACGCCGGACGCCGGAATCGCTCCATACACAGGGCATGGGGTGGACACTTTCATTCGGGACTTTGGTCGTTTGGATCTGCTCGATTTCAGTGCGTCGTGCTCCGCATGCTACTTGTCCAATGTTCCTGACGCCACAATCATGACAGTGGAGAAGTACTGGATCAACCAAGGCCTGCCGAACAAAAACTTCTGGGCGCACGAGGTCTGCATCAGCTATCTTCAGACTGTGGGATCTGCTATAACATTTTGGCAGTTCTCGAAGCATGCGACCTGTACAAGTACCTTTGATACCAAATGCTATGGGCCCGGGTATAAGCAACACCAAGAAGTGATCGACTTTTTCGATGCGGTCATCCGAGCGTACCGCATGTATCCTACTTTCGACATTCTGGCCGCGTGGGTTGTTTTTGCCAATCATCTGTTTGTCGCAACTCACTGCAATCTCTACAGCGCCGGTATCGTTCCATCGAATACCACCGCCTACAGCCTTGCCCGGATCGAGAGCGCCCTCCAGTCTCAAACGGGTGCGCTCCCGCACATCGGATGCGTCAAAGGAACCATCCTCTCGGAAGTCTGGTATTACAACCATGTGTGGGCGACAGAGCAGTTCGGCACGTACAAGCACATCGACACCACCTTTGCCTCAAACTGCAATGCCTCGGCGCCTATTTGGTACTACGAGCGCACGCCTCACTCCGAGCACGAAGTCCGAAACTAATGTACCAAAATGTGTTGTTTTGAGATGATGAAATTTGAATCATCCAATTCTGTGAGATGTTGTGCTGCTGTAGCATCATGTGTCCTGTAAGCATTCAAGTGTTCATCGATGCATCGGCTACTCGTGCGGCGCGGCCCCCGGAAGGATCACATGATCCCGTTCGACGCGTTATTTCCCACTGTTTGCTTCCCTTCGCTGAACTTGCCACGGATGATAACGCTCGACCTATCCGCACAAAAGGCGGACGCACCGACCCGACGAGCTATCACCGAGCTGTCTCTGTCGGTGGCCAAATGCAAGAAAATTGTCGTCGTCACAGGCGCTGGCATTTCTTGTTCATCGGGCATTCCGGTATGGCCTCACGTCTCCCCAGTTGGACCCCCTTGACGTGTTATTCAGGATTTCCGCTCCTCAGACGGCCTCTACGCTCTGGTCAAGTCGAAATATCCCGATGTCGTGCTCAAAGGACGAGATTTGTTCGACGCGTCTCTGTTCCGGGACCCCACATCGACAGCCGTATTCCACACGTTCATTGCGCAACTAAAACAAGCTATCGACGGAGCTGAACCCGGTCCCACACACCAATTCCTCCAAATATTAGACTCTAAGAAGAAGTTGCTGCGTTCATATACCCAGAACATCGACGGATTCGAGGCTCGCGCTGGATTGCTAGGTAGTGCCAGCGACCAGGCGAAGGCAGTTGGGAAAGGGAAAGCAAAGATAAGGACGAGGGAAGTGCGCAATGTGCAGCTGCACGGCGACATCCACCGTGTCCGATGCAGGTCGTGCTCAGCTGAATACCCCTGCGTCCATGAGCATCTTGTATTCTTCCTCGAGGGTCTGGCCCCTGATTGTCCCGAATGCTTGACTCGTGGTGCGCTATCCATTTTCTTTTTTACTCCCATCCATTAACTTACACTCTTCGCAGCTGAGGCGCGCGCTGCTCGATCCGCACGGACCATCAAAGTAGGCCAACTTCGGCCGGCTATTGTCCTCTACGACGAGCCGCATCCCTTAGGCGACGAGATCGGGATCATTCAAACTGCGGACCTTTCTCGCAAACCGGATATGTTGATCATCATGGGCACTTCGCTCAAGGTACACGGATTGAAGAAGCTTGTCAAAGAGTTTGCGAAGACCGTTCACGGTTCTAGTACCCCCGAGAACGGGAAAAAGTGGGCTGGGAAGGTGGTGTTCGTTAATCGGACGCCGCCTTCGTCTGAATGGGCTGGGATCATTGACTATCATGTTGCCGGTGACACCGATACATGGGTCGAGAGGGTTGTCGAGGACTGGAAGAAGAGCAGACCGGCAGACTGGGAGGTCCAACAGACTCTCGTCGCAGGCGATGGCGACACCAGCATGAGTAACGGGTTCAAGGTCGTCGCTGCAATCAAACCGGCAGGCAAGGCGGGTCGTAAAGGTGTGTAACGTCCGTTGGCGATTATCCCGATGTGAATTTATCTTTTCTAGATCCCAAGAAGAGACCTCGCGTCGAAGGAGAGAACATACCGCCGCAACCGACTGCAATGGTCCTGAGCACGCCAGACATCAGTGCTGCACCACTGAATGTTTATACCCCACCATTGTCTCCAAGCAAGAGACGTTCTCCGAACGGGCATTACACTCCCGAATCCAGTCCCTCGAAGAAGCGAACATTTTCGCCTATGAAGGGGCTCGAAGATGGCGCGCGTGGTCTCTTATTCAAACAGTCAAGTATCGATTCCGAGCTCTTCGACGACCTGAACGATCTGTCCATGCGGAGTCCCCCCAAGCCTCGCCCTGTTCGATCCAGACGGGCCGTGCCTGCTTCTGGTTTGTAGATGCACAGTGTAAATTATTTCTATCCCCGTAGCATACTTTTTGGACCGCGACACATTGTGTACTATATGAAATCGATAGCATTGTAAGAGAGTCAGAATACATACAGGTATACAGGATGGTCCATGGTCAGTCGGTTATGAGTTCTGAGACGCTCCAGTCCTCAAAACTGCCATCGGGCAGATACCGTCGGATGATCAGGGGGATTTTGCGCTGCGAAAGCTCTTTTATGGCGATTTGGAGAGCGTCTGTCTCGCCGTCGAGTGGGACTAAGACCGGTGCATTCATACTAGGAAGGTTGAGTCATCATGGGACACTGCAAAGCAGAATGCGGTGGAGGACAAACCTAATTTGTAGAGCTCGAGTACCCAATATCCGTGCACGCTCGTATTTCGTGAGATACGGTGTCGTGATTCGGACTTTATTTGCTTGTCGTTCACCCGCAATTCCTGTCCCAGCAGGCGCGGCCCCTTCGCCTTCGCCGTTGGCCATCTCGTGGTCGTGGTCGGCACCATTCACACCATTCGTCTGTGCGTCTTCGCCGTTCCCCTCTCCCTCGCCTTCTCCCTCCTGCCTTTCGTCCATGACGTCGTAGCCATCATCCTATAGCGCGAGAAGAGCAGAGAATTGTATTGAGGACGTGTGCCAGATCTTGTAACGCGAAAAACTACACACAAAAGTCTCGTCTCCGCCATAACTGGACATGGATATCAGTACTACTTTTTTGCGCAAAGCAGCAAAAACACAGACCCAGGGCCATCATAGTCGAAGTCGTCCCCTCCTCCGCCATCGTAACCGTCGTCGGACATTCTGACCAAAGTGGTTCTGAGTCTAGAGGGAGGTGTTGATGCTTGTTTGGCTGTTCGCAACTTGTTCTTTTCCGAAACTCGATGTCGATGCAGCCCAGGGATTGCCGCGGAGAGGATGCCTGGAATGAATGATGAATCGATAAACACAAGGGACCGTGGACTCCGAATTGAATGGGCTATTCAGTGCTTACTCTGTAGTGGGTCCTAACGCGAACGGCTAACGCTCGTCATGCGTGTCGATCTCAAGCCACAGCCAAGACTGCTTGTCAGGTCTTCGGTTGACGCGACTCGACTGGTACGACACACCGGACCGTAGCCCAGGTTGCAGCTCTCCTGTGCAAGTTGCGATCCCGTCCCTTGCAATTCGTTCCCATCATCGACTCCTGTTGCTCGCAGCTGTCGGCTGTGCTATCTCTGAGTCAGCACATATCCTCGACCCTGCGATCTTACCACAATCTGATGTCCGAGACTGAGACTTTCTGTGTGCACAGCGCTGCTTCCGGAAGGTCTGGTCTTCTCTTGAATCTCAAACTTCTTCGCTCGCTTTGCTGTGCCTTCCACGGAAATCGATTCTCCTGATTTGGAACTCAGATGGCTGGCCGGTCCCGGTGTCATTCCCTCGTCCAGAAGCTCGCATTCATTTCCCTTTTCTTCCAGACTCTCTTTTTCTCACCGCCGTGGCCCGGGTTGTCTTGGTCCCGCCACCCTGGATGGATGTCACCTATGCGCAAGCTCTCAGCGAGATATCCACCGTCTGTTGATATGTTCCTCTTCAACGAAAACTAAGGACATTTGCTCTCTCTCCGGACCGCAGCACCCGAAATATGGCCTTCGAATTGTCTCAAACGCGTCCAAATTGATTTTTTCTTCTGGCACGACAGCGATGGCGGATCGTCGTGATGCAGTCCAATTATCGGCGCGTCGGGCGTCGTAAAACGTGCCCCACCCGACCAGATATCTCCTGGAATCACCCAAGTAAAGTATCGTCATCTCCTTTTCGGGCGCAAGATGTCACAGATATATTTTAATTTGTCCACCCCCTTCGCATTTTCCTGAATAAATCTCCGTCACACTCCCTCGCACTGAAATAGGCCTCCTTTACCGGATTCCGTCCAGAGCTTCTTCTCGCGCGCCTCTCTCCTCCCACCACCACAACCGCACACTCTCGTCCACCTTCTCTATCTCCACTATTACTTCCATGCCCCAAAAGCCCGGTGTTCGCTCCTGGGGAACGCGTTTCGACACCCTTCCGTCCTCAGAACCCGCTTCCCCCCAAAGCCCCGGCCTCTCTCTCGACCAGAGTCATGCGCAGGTCGTCAACCAGCACGTCAACAACGCGTTCGACGCTTCCGGGCACACAACTCAGGAGAAGCTGCCTCATGATGCCAGCGTCTTCGTAGGCAGGCGCGTCTCTTGTTTCCTCCCGCGCAGTCCTCTCCGCTAACTGCACACAGTCTTCCCACCAACATAGACCAGGTCCAGCTCTGCCGTCTTCTGACCGAGCATCTCTCCCCGTACGCAGAGGTCAAGATCAAGATCGTTCGGGACTCCAAGGGTGGCTTCTGCGCTTTTGTTCAGTGCAAGGCAAGTCCACCCGACCGTTCTAACGCGCGTCTCTTCTCACCATCCTTGCTCTACGATAGAGCGCCGAGGCGGCTTCCAACCTAATCACAACTCTCAATTCTAGTGTCCCAGTACCTTTTTTGGGTCGTATTCTGCGCTATGAGCCTGCCCGGGCTTTCAGAACACTACTTATTTCCTATTGGTATGTCTCTTTCGTTTTTGTCGTCGACTATGGATTGACAAGTTCCGCATAGTATCCCGACAGAGAGGCTCGTAACCGCAGACGGAAAGACGCAAGTTCGTGCGCTTGAACCGTGTTTTGCGATGAGGCTTTGGAAGCCGAAGAACAGGTATCCCTGCCACTGCTATCGTTTGGTGCTGCTTACTCACATTTGCAGTTCCAGGCTGAGTATCATCTACAACAAGGATGCAGTCGATGTAGAAGAGTCTGCGGTTAATTCGCGGGAACCCATTGGCGATTTGGGATTGTTTCTCAATCCCGTTGTTCTCGACGAGGCAGTCAGTCCTTCTTCATCATGCTATCTGGACGAATCTCACATGCTTTCCAGTCGTTGGAACAAATCTGCTCGTTTTTTGGTCCTTTAGAGTCTTTAACGGAGGTCGGAGTTGAGCGCCAGATTCAAGGCACGTCGTTTCCTCTGTTGGAATCAGGCACAATAATGATTAATCGCAGGCGTAAATGCGACCGCACCGGAGCACACTTCATATCCCAGCCCTCACAACGGACCACGATTGCCTCAAATGGACCAACGTTGCTTCGAAATCAAGTGGAGACTCCGCGATGATTGCGTCAATGCTCTCATGGTGTGTTCTGACTCTCCATAAACTACTTCAACAGTGCTCACACGCATATATAGAACTTGCGGCACGTACCTCACATGAGAGTGACATGGGCGCATCAGCCTCCCACTTCCGCTGACGCTTATATTCACGGACTGCAGCCCAATGGCCGTTTCCAACAGACCGCCTTTTCATTCCATCCGCACCTGAGTGCCTCTCACCTCCATCAACGTTCTCAAACCCACACATCGCCCGCAGCACATCGCCCCCGTGACCTGTCATTGAACAGCAATGGGGAAGCAAACGCTCCCGTGGATGGTTGGAACAAGATCAGTGTGTCGGAGTCGGCCACTTCATTCAACCAGTCCTCTGCGTTCGACAGCGAAGCCGGAAATAGCACTTCTAGCTGGCCTGAGGGTGACTTCCCTCCTTTGGGAAATACAGGTGCTAGCCGCAGAAGAGATGGGGTCTGGGTCGATAAAAAGATGGATGGGATTGTGTGAGTGTCTTGTCATCGGCGCACATAGATTTTGACCAGGTTCTCAGCTCTTCTGTCATCGCCGAAGATGGCGACGCTGGGGCCCGTGACGTGAATGGGCAAGAGATTGAGGTTCCTGGAACTCCTGGCTTAGGCATGTCCCCGACTACGCCGAAGACCGTCGGGTCGCAGTTTCCCACGACGCCGACCAGTACGAGCGGCGAACTTCAGGGCTCGTTCCCGACGTACGACCACAAAGGCAGAGACGGATATTTCGGTGCACCGGCAGAGCCCAAGGAGATCGATCCAACTACTTTGTTCATTGGTGGACTGGAGATGCATGGTCCGGACTCATGGGACGAGCGGAAGGTTCAGTCGTACTTCGGGAGATTTCCAGGTCTTGTGGATGTAAAGCTTGTCCGTCCGGGTGAGTTTACTCTTGTGTTGGTTTCCAATATCTGAGTTATGTCAAGCCAACGCTCGGGCGGCCTTTGCCTTTATCAAGTTCGACAATACAGACTCTCCTGCTCGAGCTGTGTTTGAGGAGGTGCGCTTCTTGTTCAAGGCTGTCAGTTGAACTCGAATTCATGTCTGCATGCAGCACAATAGCGTCCATGCGGGCAGGGCCATGCGCGTCCAGCTCCGAGATTGCAATCCCCCGCGTGCCGTTGGGTGGAAATACAACCCCAGCAATCGTGGTCGCGGGGGAAATCGGTTCGGTTCCCAGAACCATCATGTACATCGTCGTTTTCAAGATCGTCCCGAGCAAGCTCACGAGCTCGATCTCTGTAAAGACATGTCGCGGATGTCTGTCCAGGAGCACCAGGGGTCCATGGAGCCCGATTTTGCGGATGAAAATGTCGACCAGACGCAGTCGTGCCCCGTCTCTCGTCAAGTTTCTCCCGCTCCTGCGGCCGAGACGCCCGAGTATCGAGAGTGGTACGATACGCCTGCCTCTGCTACATTGACTCCACCTCCCTCCACTGCGCCTTCGTCGACGTCTGCTCCCAGCTCAATTGCCGGTTATCCAATGCCGCCCGCTGGATTCTATCCTCCGCCCTGGGTCCACTCATTCCCACCGCAGATGCCATACGGGGCGTCATACTATCCAGGGTTTTCACCGTATATGGTTCCGGCGCATGCTCATGGAACGGCGTATACGAGTCCGGGTGGGTCGGATGCCAGCGGTCCTGCATCGATCAGCCCCCAGCCATGGCCAGCGATGAACATGTACGGCGGATACATTCCGTACCCAACCTACCCTGTTGTCCAGCCACCGGTAGAAAAAACGACCCCCAGTCCGGCGGCCGCAGCGACCGAATACACCCAAAACGAACACGCGCCCGTCTATTCACCGGAAGCATATATGCATGATGGACCGCCTGGATTTGTCCCTCCGACTTGGCCTCATCCGATGATGGCTCAGCGGTACGGTCCGTGGATGCAACCCAACGGCCATCTCCCCCCAGCGCCGGCTCCTCCCCACATTCAGGACACTGGTCGTCGCCAGACCGGGCGCAGGGACAACGTGCAGCCCATTATGAACGCCAGTCGCAGCGGTGCTGGGCGCGCCATGAATCGCCGCGGCGGGCTTCACATGTCGGGGTTCCATGGCCAACAGCGTGCGACGCACTTTACCGGGACCCAAGCATTCTAAGTTATCTTCTCATTTCTGGAGCAACCACGCACACCCACAACACACATCGCATCCTTTCTCTATTTATGTCTGTTTTCATTCTCATTTTGCTTTCTTCCTGCTATTTTTCTGCTATTCACTTTGTTTTTGTCATACACTACTCTAAACGTGTCCACAGTCAGTATTCAATATTCAATATTCAAGTAGCGTACTTCGTGCCCATGTACAAAGCCTGTTGTCATGAGATAGGAGTTTCATATACATACATCAGCTGACGTAAGGGTCATATAAGCGCCATACCTCGGCTGCGCCTGACTCCTGCTTTCCCCACTCATGCCGTTCTCAGTCAAGGCCACCTACGGCCGCAGTGGTGAACTGCGTAAACTATCGTTCCCCACCTTCCCGACATACGATGAGCTGTACCAGCAGGTATGTTTCCCGCGCTCCCCGCTGAACGCGCACGCCAAGCGCTTATCATCGTCTTCAGCTCTATCGCGTCTTTCCCATAAGCAACAGCTACTATCTTTCCAAGATTCTCTTCTCTCCGGACTCGTCCAAGGCGAGCATTCTCATTGGCCGAGAAGTGCGTGGTGCGGAGCAGTATAATTCATGCACTGCCCCTTACAACACGGGCCTCTATCCCAATGCCATGCTGCGGTTCACTGTCCACGACGAGACATACCACAAGCCTCCCTTCGTTCCGGCTCCCCCCCCTCCGGCTTCTGTGTTCAATCCTCTTCCCGCCAGGATTCAGCCTGAGGACCTTTGGGCGTCGACAAGCATCGTCCCCCCTCCCCCCGTTCTTCCCACCCACACAAGCACCATAGACGTCGACATGGACCGCATTGGTCCGTTCATCCCGTTCCCGGCACACATGCAGCCCAATTACCATCAGCATACGGATGCTCCGCAGTCCGAAGCTGGAACAGGATCATCCTGCTGCGCCGTCAAGGAGGGCCAGGTACAAATCGAGGGCATAATGGCGCAGTTCAAGGAAGACCTTTCCAAGATTATCGCTACTTCTTTCTCCCCTTCTCCGTCACCTGCGATGCAGCAGCCACTCCCGCCATCCTCGTTTTGTCTGTTCAAGTACTGCACGTCGTGCGCCAAAATCTTCCAGGGCCCATGGTTCATCTGCGAAACATGCAGCATGGTCAAGGTGTGTTCTGCTTCCTTTATCTGTGGTAGTGGCAAGGTGTCTGACCACTCATCCAGTGCACCGGTTGCCATGAGGCCTCGACTGGGTTCTGTACTGCAGTGATGGGCCCGCACAAAATGAAGAAGGACACCTGTGCTGCTTGCCCCGTTGAGACCCCAGTGGCCGCGAATGCGCAGTTGCCGACTGGTCTATGGAGTGATCCGGTTTCGACCGGATATAATCCGACTTATCCGTTCGGACACTCCGTTCCGTCAGCCGTTCCTCCTCCATTCGCAGGCGCCCCAGCTCCGGCCGCTCCACCTTCCTTGCCGGCTGTTCCCCCTCCTCCTGTCATTCACAATGGAGTGCTGTGCGATATGTGTGACAAGACCATTGAAGGCGTGCGTCACAAGTGTATGGATTGCCCCAGTCAGTCTCTTTTTTGCCCTGCTTGACTTCTGCTTACGTGACTGCAGACTACGATCTATGCACCGCTTGCGTCACATCTGGCTCCGCAGAGCGTCACAACCCGTTCCACGAGTTCATTGATATCAAGGAGCCAGGCCGGGTTATCGTGCATACGGTGTATACCGGCGATGACCAGCGTGAGAGCTTCTTGCCCGACCCTCGTCGCCAGGACGAGCGCTCCGAGTCCACGGCCTCACCGGAACCAGAACCCGCTGTGCATTACGCCACTTGCAACCTGTGCGACTCGAGGATCCGCGGTGTCCGCTATGTACGTCTCTTTCCTTGTGCAGTGATCATCGTTCTTACCCCAGTAGAAATGCGCGGATTGCCCCGACTTCGATACTTGTTCAAGCTGTTTCAAGTACGTTGTATGTGTTTCCTCCGCATCATGTGCTTATCTTTCCGAACAGCATCACCCACGAACAGCATCCTAGCCATGCGTTCGTCAAGTTGAGCAATGCTTCGGACTATGTTGTAAGCCTTTTCTACAGTTGTCCTAGGATGATCGTGCTGATCAAGATCGTGTTAGCGCCGCGGGAATGCTATCAATCCTATGCATAATGTTTCGTGCGATGCCTGCAAGAAGATCGTGTACGGTATCCGCTACAAGGTTCGTCCTATCCTTCTTGCGGGATCGATCGGTTTTGGATAGTGAAACAGTGCATGCACCCTGACTGCCCTGATTTCGATCTGTGCGCGGACTGCGAGGCTTTCCCTATTCCGGTTCACCCTGACAATCATCCTCTGCTGAAGATGCGGTCTCCGAGTACGGTTGTTCCCACGGTCTATAGAGTCGGGCAAACGACCCTCATCGAGGAGCCTTTCTCGCGAGGATACATGGTCAATCCTAACTCATTCTTTGATTCAGCTCCCAGCCCTATCCCACCTCCGTCTCCGATGTATTTCAGATCGACGCCGTCACCAGGACTGTCCTATCTGACCCGGCCTTCGCCGACCGTGCCGTCCCCGGTGCCGATGTTAATGCCTGGTGGATTGTATGACGAGCAGCCCATGTCTGCGTTCTCGCGCGTCCCACGTCGTAGTTTCTCTGCCGCGCCGGCTTCGCGCTTCTCCCACTCACCGTCTCCTCCGCCATCTCCGGGTCGTCCGTGGGCAACACCAGGCAGCTGGCCCAGCACTCCTGATCTGACAGAGGAGCTGGAACGTGACCGTGAACGGCTTGCTGCCATTCATTCTGTGACCGAGGCCCACCGCGCCCTGGAGCAGCGTATCGAGCAGTCGCAGTTGCGCTGGGCTTCGCCGTCTGCACCTATTCCGGTTCCGGTCGTCACTCCTGCCGCCGAATCTCCGTTCCCCAGCTTCTGGCCTACAACGTCGACCGATCTTCGCCATCTGATCCTGAATGAGACCGAGTCTGTTCGCGAGCCAACGCTTGAGCGGACGTTGAACGCTTTCTCCCATCTGTCTGTTCACGAAGAGGCTGAGTCGACGGGCCAGTCGTCTACCGTCAAGGCTCCGGCATCACTTGCCGCTCTGCTCAACGGATATGAGAGTGATGAAGCTGAGAAGGATGTTCTTGCTCCAACTGTAATGCCTCGAGAACCCACTCTGCGCGCCAACTATGTGATCGACGTGACTGTGCCGGATGGCCAGATCTTTCCCCCCGGTGCTGAGTTCATCAAGTGCTGGCAGATGACGAACAGTGGCGAGCATGACTGGCCGGCAGAAACGGAACTGGTCTGGGTTGCTGGCGATCGTCTTGCCCGGGAGCAAGACGGACCGTCGAATGTATCGATCGGGCAAGTCAAGATCGGGGCTCAGGTTGAGCTGTGGACCGGCGAGCTGAAGGCACCCGAAGTGCCTGGACGCTATGTCAGTTACTGGCGGCTGAGAGATGGGGAGGGTAAGTTGTTCGGTGACAGTATCTGGATCGAGTGCGTGTCCTTTCGTCTCTGCTGTTTCTCCAACTGATCCATGCGTAGCATCAATGTCATTGAAGGCTCAAACGAAGCATCCATGAGCTCGTCGTCCGTGATGGTGATGCCCGGCGGCCCGCTGTCCCGAGTCGAGATCGAAGAGTCCGCGGACGGGTCGTCTGAAGCGTCTTCTGTGTCGTCTGTCTCGCTGATCAGCGTGAGCTCGGAAGAGGAGGAGTGGCTTTCCGTGCCGCCTTCTGAGGACCGTCCGTCCTACGAGGTGCTGTACGAGTCGAGCGACTCTGGACTCGAGTAAACAAGGAAGAGGGGGAGCACCGTAATTCAAGGACGATCTATGCTTGCATTGTAGTACTGATCTGTGTAAACACGCCATACGTGAATTAAGCATCCATTCAATGTGGAATTGCCTTGCTTGTCAAGGCATCTCCACCACCATAATTCGCGATCAAAAGATGCCGGCTCTCTCCGTTTGTCATTCCGTCTTCTTCCGTCGCTATATGATGTCATTCGTATGTATCTCGCCGCACTCATGCTAAGTCATTGTTGATGACCAGTCTCAGTATACATAATACTTTAACCACAGATAAAGCCCGGTCATCAAATGGTGGAAGGCTGTGAGAACTGTGCTATAACTCGGTGTTGTTTTTAATGGGTTTAAACAGCGCACGATCTTGAAATTTGGCCCGCACATCAACCTGAAGCTCGGAACACCATTCGTGCAATGCTCAAGGAGGGAACGCACATTGTGCATGGTGTACCAGTGTACGACTGAGACGACTAAGAAGGCAGACTCATGGCACCAGAGGTCTACATGTCTAAACTGCGGGGTGCGACTGTGATGCTGACAATGAACCTATCTCACATCACCTTCCAATCAAAGAAGGAAGATTTGGTATCTGCCGACATTGTCAAAATGCGCATAATAGCTAACCAATCTACTGCGCCGAGCCCCTTGAAGCATGGGAAGCTGGCACTGCATGACAGCGAAGATGAGGAGGAGCAAAGTCTGACTGAGAAGAAGCACGCAGTTTATGGTGCCTGATGTGTTTTTGTCTACTGCCTCTAACGTCCGTACAACTTTTGGTTTGTTCTTTTGAGGAGCAAGGCATCTGCCGACGCAGTCGGCGCTTCCTAGTCTCGGAATATTGCTACGTCGAATCCGATCTGATCTCTAGGATTCAACCTCACGTGCAGGATGTCCTTCGATGCTGCATTCGATTGGAACACTTCCGATCGTGAACCTTGTGTCAAAGGTTTGAGACATGGACTGGTTGCGCCTTTTTTTTCATGGCTATAGGATCACACGCATTGGGCGGAAATATTGTTCATGTTCGAACGATTACACGACGTCAATTTCTGCCGATGCGCTGGGAAGACACGGTTACTGGTGTGCAGGAGACTGACTCATCTAGAGTTTTCGCTACTTATCTTCGACAAGGCCACACAAAATCTTCTTAGACTGTTAAGCTCTTGCTCGTACCCGATCGAGAAAGGGATGGGACCGTGTGTCATTTCGTTTGTGCGCTGACAGACGAGAGCGAGAATATTCAGTTAACACCGGTTGATGATCTTATCTCTGCCAGCGGCATCATCATCGTTATCAATATTTGTGGGTACCATGGACCTGCTCGCGTTCCCGTCCTCGAGTCATGTCGGACACTCTTGATCTGGGCGCGCCATTTAGTGCATGGCCAGAAGACACTCCGTGGCCCTTGCCGTTGGGATATGAAATGCTGAAACAAAGCAACGAGATCAGCGTCCGCAAATTCTCCGGGAAAACGCGCACTCTGGTGTGCAAACAGCCAGACCCTCCCGATACCTCGGCCATGGCGCGCGAAATCCAGATCGTGCAGCAAGCGGGGGACTGCAGCGTATCTTACCTGGGCCGCTACTACCATGAGCGGCAGCAGCAAGTCCGAGGACTCATCATGCCCTTCGAGTCGGCGATCGTTCCCTCTGCCATCGAGACCCGCGCGGAACGTGTGGCGCTTATCCACGAACTGTGCGACTTGACCAGACGGTTCCACTCGCGGGGTCTCGTGCACGGGGACATCAAGCCCGACAACCTGTTGCGCTGCTCCGACGGCACTCTGCGGTTCTGTGACTTTGGCAACTCGTGCTTTGCTGGGGACGAACACCTGACGGCGGGGCCCACGATGTCCTACGAGACGGCGATGCGGTTCCGGGCGGTGGTGGAGATGCCCCCGACCGTTGAAGAGGACTACCACTCGCTCGCGATGACCATCTGGGAGCTATACACCGGCGGAAACGACTTCTGGATCGAGGGCATTTATTTTAGGGGAGGCTGCAGCGACGACGAGACCTACGATCTGGTCCGAGACTGCATCGAGCTCGGGCGCTGCCCTGACATGCGACGCATCGACGATTCCAACGTAGCCAAGCTCATTCTCAAGTACCTGAGCTTGGGTCCATCAGTTGAAGATGTGGACGTCCAGACAAGGATAATGTGTTACCAAAAGACGTATCGTCTTCGGAACTGTCGCTGTGTTCCAGAGTGCACCATTGCTCGCAAATTCACCTGCATGACTTGTGAAGAGGCCCAGCCTCCGCCGATGGTATGCCCGCGATTATATGTCGAGCCGTTCATGCGCGACCCCGCAGTCAGCTCTCCATCTTGCACGTGTTCCGCGTCTAGTAAGTAAGCAGAATAAAATTAGTTGTCAGGCAATCAAAAGGACCATGAGATATCGCTTGCGGCTTCGGTAGAAGTCGCTCGGAGGACAGGTCGGACTCGACTGAACATTTCCGGCTCGCGTGATCGGATCAAAACATCAAGCTTTCGATTTGGATGGGATCGAAAACAGTCAGCATGAGACGTGCTCTTGCGCCTTGACACTCTCTCTGATCTCCTGCGGTAGCCAGTCTAGGCCGACCGCGTCTCAGCTGGATGGAAACATGTCTGATCGGACGCTATATCTAGGTCGCGTGGAGGTGTCATTGCGCCCACATTCATATAATGAATTCTTCTCTCCGCAGCATCTCATTGTGCCATGCTTGACCTTGGAGCGCCCCTTGGGTCGTGGCCGGAAGACCACGTCGTCCCGCTGGACATTCTACAGATTCTTCAGCAAAGCCCCGACGTCTATGTCTACACATTCAAAGGGCAGACCAGGACACTCGTCTGCAAGGAGCTCGTCAAACCCAGTCTTCCGCCTCTTGTGCGAGAGATATCCATCGTCAATCAAGCAGGAGACTGCAGCGTCCCTTATGTCGGCCGCTACTTTCTGAAACCACACGGTGAACTTCTGGGGCTGATCATGTCATACGAATCCGTCGTGATCCCCTCCGCCATCGAGACTCGCGCGGAACGCATTCGAACGATCCATGAGCTATGTGATCTGGTAGAGCGCTTCCACGCCAGGGGTCTCGTACATGGGGATATTAAACCCGACAACCTGCTGCGCTGCTCGGACGGTTCCCTCCGCTTCTGCGACTTCGGCACCTCCTGCGTCGCAGGAGACACTTATCTGACTCCCGGGCCCACGATGGGATACACCACCGCTGCCCGATCGCGCGCGACGACGGAGATGCCGACGACCAGGGAGGAGGACTATCATTCTCTTGCGATGACCATCTGGCAGCTGTTTACTGGAGGCACCGACTTCTGGATCCGGGATCTGCACTTCAAGGGCGACGAAGACTTTGATGCGTACGATGCAGCACAGGATGCCTTGAAGCTTGGGCGTCGGCCCGACATGACTCGCATCGACGACCCCGACATAGCTAAGCTCATTCTCAAGTACCTGGATTTGGGCCCTCCGGTCGAAGACGCAGAAATCCGAACGTGGTCGATGTGCTACGAGAAGACGTATCGTCTCCGGGACTGCCGGTGTGTCCCAGAGTGCACTACGACTCTCAAAATCACCTGCATGTGCTGTGAGCAGGCCCAGCCTGCTTCCCCGGCAATATGCCCGCGATTGTATGTCGAGCCGTTCGTCCGTGATCCCACGAAAGAGGTGAATACCGCGTGCAACGTCAATGTCCCGGCACCAGCGGCAGTTTAACGAGTTGGAGGTCCTCAACGCGCCAGGAAACTATTTGTAGATCAGATCAAAGGCTTGCAGAGCACCCGATGCCGGCGTGCATGTCGCCATCCAGCCTGGCACATTGTAGGTTGCACACTTTTGTGCTCGGCATTTTGACGTTGTCCGACCAAGTATGCCTAGGTCTGGCCCTATAGTTGGTCGATTTGCGTCCTGAGTTGTAACAAATGGATGTCGGCTGGGCTGTTGTAAGGTCGGAGATCCACGAGACTTGAAGCCAGACGCCCTCAGACGGTGCTTAAATGAGCCATCGGGATGTAGCACCCGATAGATCTGCCTCGTTCAGCGCAGCAGAGCACCACAGAGTCATATCCACGGACATGAGAGGCAGGCTATCTGTACAGGAATGATAGACGCGAGAAGTGATGTTTGCGCAGGTCCACCATATGCTCAGCAGCGCATGGATTGAGGAAGGCAAAGGCAGCCCGAATTGTCTCTAGATGCTAGCAGGCGTCACCAGCAGCTTGAAAGAAGGTACAATGGCCACCGCGTGCAATTGACTGGTGAGATTTCCAGGCACTTGCCGGTATTGCCTTGCTTGTCAAGGCTTCTCCACACTTCTTATGATTCGCTCTTTTCGATGACCTCATTGTTCCGATCATTCTCGCCCATTATCTTCCGTGGGCCTCTGTGACTGTCGCTTCGCGTCCAGTGTTCTTCTCCAGTCCTAGACACGCGCCCGTTTCGCTCTGCACCTGAGGAGATAGCACTTGGGCTCTAATCGGCAACCATCCAGGTCCAGTCGCTCGTTTGTTCCAGCAATCGTTATTTTGGAAACGTCATGCAGGCAAGCCACCGCGGCAAGTCTTCTCATATTGGAACTCGGTGTGAAGGCTGCAATCGATATGAGTCATCCGGGGTCGAAGAGCGAAACGGTGTCATAAATGGCAGTGCGATAGGCCAACTCTTCAACGATGTGTCCTACCTTTCACTTCAACACGACCGCCGAGGACGTTGCGACGGCATTCGCAGAACAGATCCAAGGCAAAAACGGTTCGTCTGCGCTGTAAATTATCTAACCGGAAGACATTGAATTGATGTCCTCAGTTCTCGTCACCGGGACGTCGCTCAATGGCATAGGGTTCGAGACTGCGCGCGCCGTGGCGAAATATGCAAATCTAGTAATCGTCACAGGATACAACAAGGAGCGGTGAGCTTCGCTCTGGAAGATGGTGGAATCCTGCATACTGATCCTTGCTGGTCAGGCTTGGGCTGACTCAAACCGAACTCCAGAAGGACGGCCCTCACGCCGAAATCCGACCACTCGTCCTGGACCTCGCCTCGCTCAAAGACGTGCGCAGGGCGGCTGCCGAAGTCAATGCCTATGCTGAACCGATCCAAGTCCTGATCAACAACGCAGTCGCCGCTATCGCGGGATTCAAGCTGAGCGCAGACGGGTTCGAGAATCAACTCGCAATCGACCATCTGGGCCCATTCCTCTTCACCGCTCTCATTTCTCCAAAGCTCCTGGCCGCACGGACCGAGACCTTTACCCCGCGGGTCGTATTCGTGTCCAGCCTGGCGCATCTTCTCGGGGCTGTGAACCTTGAGACCTGGGGTATACCCGACCAGGCATCATACGATTTAATGGGCGCCTATGCCCAAGCAAAGACGGCCAACATCCTCACTGCTGCCGAGCTCTCGCGTCGGTCCAAAGGGGCAATCAAGAGCTACAGTCTGCATCCAGGGAGTGAGTATTCAGTGTCTGTGCTCGATGATGGATGTTGATCTCCGCGCATTCTACAGTCATCTTCCCGAACATCAATTGAAAGGAAGAAATCGCTGAGAAACGGAAGGAGTTCGGTATCCTCCTCCCTGATGGCTCACCCAGCCTCGAGAAGTATCATTGGAAGTCGATCCCGGAGGGCTCCGCGACGACGGTTGCGGCTGCGTTTCTGGATGATTCGAAAGTGGCGAACCACAAGCTCTCGACGCAGGCTGCTGATCCTGTGAGTAATCCATTCCTTATTTCTCTGCTCTCCGCCCATTCACGTTGGATGTCAGGCTATTGCGGCCAGGCTGTGGGATGTCACGGAGGAGCTCGTCGGTTTCAAGTTTACCTTGTGAAACCCATTGAAACTCTGTCTTGGCATGTGCAAATAGCAGTGGTCTCGGTTTCACTTTGTAAGATGTAGCAAATGTATTATGGAATCGACGGAGTAAGGCATTCTGTCGGGGAACACGACGCTTTCTAGTAACTTGTTGTACATGATGATTACTAGTCACTTCGATCACGGTGATGTCATGACGTCTGCATGTTACTCTACAAAACCCATCTCAATACAAAATCTGTCTCACCATCACTCGTCCGACATGGCCAGTCTTGACCTTACCGCTCCCTTTGGCGCATGGCCAGAAGACACGCCATTCCCTTTGGAGTCGTGCGAAGTGCTCAAGAACTCTAAAGAGATCTGTGTCGTCAAATTCTCCGGAAAGACGACCTCACTAGTGTGCAAAGAGCCGACAGATCCTGATTTCTCTTCCATGGCGCGCGAAATTCAGATTGTGCGTCAAGCGGGCGACTGCAGCGTGCGTTACCTCGGCCGCTACATGTACCAGCCTCGGCAAGTACTTATGGGGCTCGTCATGTCCTTCGAGACGGTGATCATCCCTTCCGCCATCGAGACTCGGGTGCAGCGTGTGGCCATCATCCACGAACTTTGCGACCTGGTCGACAGATTCCATGCGCGAGGTCTGGTGCACGGAGACATCAAGCCCGACAATCTCCTGCGCTGCGCGGATGGCACTCTCCGCTTTTGTGACTTTGGCAACTCGTGCTTTGCTGGGGATGGCTATTTGACGACCGGGCCGACAATGAGCTATGAGACTGCAAACCGGCACCGTGCAATGCAGAAGCTGCCACCGACCCGGGAGGAGGACTACCATTCTGTTGCTATGTCTGCCTGGGAGATCTACACCGGCGGAAACGACTTTTGGATCAAGGGCATGCATTTCCGCGGGGGTGCGAGTGACGACCACACCTTCGACGTGGTGGAGGACGCTCTGAAGCTTGGCCGGCGACCCGACATGGCTCGCATCGATGACCCCGACATAGCGCAGCTCATTCTCAAGTACCTGGATCTGGGGCCTCCGGTTGAGGACGCGCCCATTCAGACACGAGCCATGTGCTACCGAAAGTCGTATCGTCTCCGAGGATGCCAGTGTGTGCCTGAATGTACGACCACTCTCTACTTCACTTGCCTTGCTTGCAAAGAAAGCGGATCGGAACCCGTAGCATGTCCACGACTGTATGTCGAGCCATTTGTCAGAGCTCCAACATCAAGCACACCGTGGTGCTCGTATCACGGTAAGGAATGTTCGATCCTCCTAGATCATGGACCATCACCGACTGAGTGATAATCGATAACTGATTTCCCACATCCATTCAGATCTTGGAGGAGATAACCGATTCTCAAGACTACCCCTAGTTAGTGAGGATATGATGCCAGGAACGATAGACGCGGTTTGAGGGCAGAAAAGTCGGATACCAAGGAAGAATAGAAGCTTTGTACTCTGAGAAAACAAGTAAGGCAGGACCCTGAGAGCACAACGGATCATGCAGATTTTTTGACGGATAAGCCCAATGTCAATGTAGCCTGTTCCCATTCTGAGCGCAGTTGGAATAAGAGAAGAGAGTGGCATATTCCATATTGCCAGATTGGCAGATCCAAAGTTCGCCTCCGACTCAGAGCTGATGAGGGCTTCGTGAGAGTGCAAATGCACTTCAAATTTTCGAACGTGATTGGACTGAACAACTGATTGAGCCCGAGTCACGTTGCGATTCCTGGAGAGAACAGCATTCAGAAGGGGTCCTGTCTTGTCCGAGATCAGACGAGAAAGATGGCTTGAGATGATATTTCGGATCTTTGTGTGCGAGACAACCTCTCACAGTAGGACCGAAGACAACAACAGAATTTGTCAGCATTTATCTGGAAAGCACATAGCTGAGAGGAAACCAGCAGTAGACTCAAATAGTACATGATGAGGCCGATTACAAGATCTAGAAGAAGGGAGTGAGATGGGACGTCTGATGACGATCGTGACATACAGGATGGACACCGGTACAGGTAGGACAGATAATCGAGTTTTTGGTTTTAAATTGCAGAGATACGAGCTCATAATGCGGGTTTTCATTAGTGTTGACCCGGGAACACCAGATATCGGCAGTCAAGTCCCCTCCTTCGCGAGCAATTCGAGTAATGTCTTTCTGAGCATCACACTTGATGTCCTCGTAGAATTGGTGACGACTGGCCGAGGCAAGAGTACAGCTTTTGAACTCCCTTTTGGATGAGAAACACATCGTGAAGCGAAGTAGTGTCGTGAGTGACTTGCAAATCAGTCATCAGAGTACGGCCAATGAAGCATCATGCACTGCACCGCCCTGCACCGCCCCCAAAGATAATTTGAATCGGATTTCTATAGGTAGGTCACATAGGTAGCTTCCCGGAATACGACTATGCATGAGATTGTGATACAACATGGATCTAGTTAGATTACCAATAAACATATAAAGCAGGCGTCGGTGCGACTATATCTGCATCTCCACCGTTCGCAGCCATTCCCCCACCTCCGACCAAAACTCCCGTTGAGTTTCGGTGCCCAACCACAGCGGAACGACCGACAGATGATGCCCCTCCGCCTCTTTCACGTACCAGGTCCCAGGCTGCACCCTCGCACCTTTGGATAACGGTCTGTGGGAACAACTTGTTCGACTGCAGCATGTTAGCAATCATTGAGATGGAAATATCAGTAACAAACCTGCATGGAAGCGGATGCCACTGAGAGAACAACGGAACAACACCGTCGTTGGCCCAGTACTCTTCTCCCAGTTGCAGGGGACCCGCGTCACGCAGGAACGACGGACGCGGCTTGAGAGTAGAAAAGTCGAACATTCCCATGCGAAGGGAAAGCAAGTAAGAGAGCGGAGATGTGATGAGATGTTGCAAAGACGGAGTGTGCATTCTAGAATGAGACCCAAGGATGAGCCTGCGTCGCCGCGGTTTGGTCTGTGCCCGAAACAAGTCAAGTCAGGACATGCATGACACATACGACGCTGGGAGCACGAACCATGCAATAGACGAAACTCTTGTAATACGTCTCAGGCTCAACGGAACCCTCCCCCTTCTCTTCCCTCGTGTCTGAGGCCTGGAATGTCACGTCGAACGGCGCGACATCTTCGCTCTCCGCCCAATCGCTTCGCCACAGCTGCTTCAGCAGATCGAGCACGGATATATCCCGGTACGTCAGCGAGCGACAGTCCCCATGCAGGTCGAGGCTGAGAGAAGCGGGGATGACTGGTGCGAGAAACGATAGAACGTGGACGGCTTTCCCAATCAGGGAGCCGACGGAGAGTGGTCGAACGAAGGGTGCCGCATCAGAGCGCTCCCCCAGTAAGTATGCAGATTGAGTACCACGGAATGGAGAAGTAACTAGCCGGAGGTTGTGTTTCAGTCTTCGGAGATTGCCGCACAAGCAACCCTTACTAGTTGTTAGAGAGCGCACCATCCGTGGATGTGCCGAATGCCCGAAGTGCCCCGTCCTGATTAGATGCTGTAGTTTGATTATCGTCGGACCTCCCTAAACACTATCAACGGGCGACCTGTCATTCACACGAGATTTGGAACGCACGATAGAATGTCCCAGAAAATGCAGAGGCGCTTCTGGGGACCAGTCTGGGTATGAACCCTGCACGATATGCCGGCCGTAGCGCGTGTGGTGATGGGCCTTCGCGTGTGCTTCTCCATAATCGACTGGAGTGGTCTCGATTTTCAGCATCGACCCTAAATGGAAGCACACACACTTGCCTGTGCCGCCGACAAGCGCATGATACAACTCACAGGCTCGGTCGTGGAGTGAGCTGACAGGCCCGATACTGTACGCTTGTGAGCGGACTGGCTGGATGCTGGATAGCGCGGGCTCACCTGACGAATATAACACGTCTATGACGCGCTGGGTCCTGCCCGGAGTTGAGATACCGCTCGAAGTCGCCCCATAGCCATGTAGATCCTCCGCCGAGAAAACCTTGAACGATGACAAGGGGAATATTTCCGTGGCTGCTTTCAGTTTTCAGATAATTCGTGGTTTCCTCGATTTCCATGCAGCTGGGGCTAAGACAAGATGTGTGGTCCTGAACGACGGTTGACGAATGTTCATGACCACATTTGCCGATCAATCACTCCACCACACAGGAGATTGATTCCCATAATTGGGCGGTCAAAGCAAAGCAAAGCAGAAATCCTATTGGGCTATCCGAAACGAAACGAGAGCAAGTGCAGTATAGCGACGACAGCGAGTGGAATCGTATGGGGTATAGAGATATGTACATGGTATTAGATGTGTTCTCGATGCAAGTGGTCTTCGGTCCTGATTAGAATGGTCGAATAGGCGAGTGGTATATAGTGTAACCTGTGATAGCTGTACATATTGATGGCATGAACGGCTGCACGGGCCCATGAGCGACACGACACAGGGAATGAGCGAGCACTCACACATAACAGTCGTGGGGAAAGCATGGATGTCGTCACAAGATTAGGCGCGGATGGGAAAGTGAATGTAATATGCAAGGGTCGTTCTAACACAAGGGTGAGCACAGTTATCACATTGAGCGAAAAAAAACGGGGTCAGCACGCACATCTTCATCGGCTATTTTCGGAACTCGTGTACCAGGAAAGCTGCACACTCCCCACGGCACGGATATAGACTTTAGCTCGGAGGCGGCAGACCTAGAAACCATATTAGTGCTCGGTGCCTTGCGATACACACTTCAAGACTGACGGTATCAGCGACCTCCGCCTGTCGGAAATGCACGTGGAGGTCATCGTTCGGCATCCGCGTGATCTGGCTCACTTCACCAAAGCTCTGAGCGCGCTGTCAGTCGCATAATCTTGACAGAAAGTATAAGCACATCATCACCTCACACCACCGTTTCGCGGCTTCAAATTTGTGGTCATCCTCGGCAGCTATTCCACTGATGACAAGCCGCTTCTTCTTTTTGCGGGGACCAAGCGAGGCGAAAGACACGCGAGGCACGCTGCGTGTCTTGCCGACCGATGAGTACGCAATCTCAGGCCGGTTCTCTTGCTTCGCATGCCGCGCGGGGGCGGATGCGACCAAGTTGGAGTCGAATCCTAAGCGAGTACCTGGCTTCGGCCCCAGCGGCCTGCGGGGTGGCATGCCAATGTACCCATCGCACGACATGGTTGACCCCGGATTCCTTGGCGACCGCGAAAGAGTGCCGAGCTCGTCCAGGTAGGAAGGCCCTGACCACAGGGAAAACGTTGACGCATCTTCAGCCAGGCGAAGACCGCTCTGGCTCTTGACACGAACCGAGTCGGCTACAGTGCTGCGAGGGGGTGTGACCGGCAAGTCCCCGTCAGTGGTCGTTTGTGTGGTTGAGGTGTATGTGTGATTCGACGAGATACTCGGTCGCGAACGATGCAAGGTGTCAGACACCGACGCTTGAGAAGGAGAAGGTGGACTGGACATCCCAAAATGGCCTAGCACACTAGGGCGCCAACGAGATTTCGATGCGGAGGGCGGAGGCGTGAAGGAGCTTGGGTCACCTGACAAAGCTTTCAGAGTGGACAAGCTGGCAGTTCGCCCGTGGTGCATCGATTCCGAGCTGCTGCGGGAGTTCCGGGGGTAAAATAGCCCCCGTGATGGTGTACGGGGCATTGCGAGGGAGCTTGCCCGAGATCCGATGGGCGAACTCGAACGGAATGACAGCGAAAGATGGCGTAAAGAGGCGCTCAAGCGATTCGGAGAGGTGGGTGGAACGATGTTCGAAGGATCCTGAGGGATTTTAGTGCGGGGACGCCACGATCAAACAGTTTCCAACGCACTTTGTCGCTCGGTGGGATATCATCGTCCTCCAACAGATCGTAACTATTGATGGAGACTGCACTTTCATTATATGTGAACTTGCCCAGTTCAGGATATGCAAGGTATCGGCTGGAAGGTGGTGCTGGCCCGGGCAGCACTGAAGGACCCTCCTGTAAATCGACGACGTCGGCTTCGGTAACATCCGTCGGCAGAGTCTGTTGTTCTCGTATCCATTTGTTCAGCATGCTATGGCGCCTGCGACGAGGCTGAGTGAAAAGGGTTCGGACGTTGAACGGGTCGTCCTCAGCCGACGTATAAGGGGGGTCATCCACTTCGAAGACTGAAGCAGAATGGTCTATAACGCGAACAAGTACGTAGCCTTGCGTGAACATCCAAACTATATCTCGAGTTTGAGCTTCGCTCACCGATATTACGCGTGCCCATCGCGTGCCGAGGTTCTTCAAGTCAAGTAGAGGTCGAGGGTGAACGGACTCTCCGGAGGATTGTGAGACGAAGAAAGAGCGAGCAGATGGAGGCGCAGAAGCAGATACAGGAAGAAATCGTAGATGTTCGTACAAGATCAGCAGGGAGAAAACATGAGAACAGCGGTTCAGCGCCTGCTGGTGGAAGAAGAAGGCTTATGAGAAGGCTTATGGAATGACGAATTAGGAAACACGGTTGGATTCAACAATCAGACACGAGGCAGAACACGCAGATGATGGCCGCATGGCAGGGCCCGGCCCGACAGCCGTCTCCGCATCTGTCCGCTTATCGCCTCGAGTCCACCTAACAGAATTCGACCCTGGCCACGACGTTCAATTCCTGGCAGCCTGCTCGGCGAGCGCAGAAAATATGTTTTCCGTGATTTCTTTAAACAGGCTCGCCGAGGACGTCTTCGAATAGCGGGTTTGTAGTGTGAATGATTCTTCTGCGCTCTTGTCGGTATCAATCTCGGCTAGATTCACAACGTCATCGCTGGCGTCCAACAAGCTGACGAGCTCAGTGTCCACGGGCAAGCTGCCAAGAAATTTCAACCCCTCTCGTTCCGCCATCGCCTTCCCTCCGCCCGTCGAGAAGACGTTGCTGACCTCTCCGCAACACGGACATACGTAGCCACTCATATTTTCGATCAGCCCCAGCACGGGGAGGTTGACTGCTCGCGTGAACGAGAGGCATTTCATTCCGTCCATGAGCGCAACGGCTTGCGGCGTTGTGACAATGACCGAGGACAATCGGGAATGGACTGGGGCCATATGCTCGAGAAGCGACAGATGCTCGTCCGACGTTCCTATCAAAACCCTCAACTCTAATGTAGCCCAGAATCGCACAGTAGACGCACCTGGAGGCGTGTCGATGACCAAGTAGTCCAAGTCACCCCATCGCACATCGCTTAGGAACTGCCTTATCATCCCGTTTTTCTTCGGACCGCGCCACACCACAGAGTCGCCTTTCTTCTTGAGAAGAAAGCCAACACTCATGCACGCTAGTCGAGCTTCCGCGCCGTCCGCATACACAGGCACCCAGCCACTGCTGCTCTGATGTACGCCCTGTCCATCTAATCCCAACATCCGAGGTATCGAAGGTCCGGTCAGATCGACGTCAAGAATGCCCACTTTCGCAGTGGGGCTTGATTGATATAGGTTTAGGGCGAGTTGCGTAGACACGGACGATTTCCCAACGCCTCCCTTCCCGGCAAGCACGATGATGATGTGCTTCACAGAAGATAGCCGCCGCGCGACTGGTGTGTCCGTTGAGGTCATGGTGGAAGCGAATAGAGAAAGATTGCAAAGCAAAAGATTAGAGCTGTTCAGCAGAACCAAAAAATCAATTTGTTTTTTACGAGTTTCCTGGTTGTGGAGTAGACTTTACTTCCCAATTACGTAGGTGTGGAGTGTCGTAGGAATCGCACCGAGGCCGAATTCTGACCGAAAAGGAAACATGCCACCGAAGACGGATCTGATCATTCTGCACGTGTAGGCAGATTGAATGCATCGTTGTCCTCCATATTGGCGAGAAGACCGAGAACAACCGCGAGGGTTCAATTTACAGTGTTAGTGAGGAAAGATGGCATCCTCCGCCATGGAGTTTGAGTTCAGATGAGGACAGAAAATGAAGTGGTGGTTTGGCGGCTCGGCTCATCACATGATCATGGTAACGGAGTTCCCGGCGTTCATCCGGTATTGTTTGCAACTCAGATTTTCCTAAGCTCCACTCATATTTTACAAACTACTAGCTAAAAATCGTGTTTGAAACGACTGCTGAACAGCTCTATTACATTAGATTAGTCATGGATGATTTGAGAAAAGAGCGCGGTCGTCACATGCACGTGCACTGAGTGTCACGCGAACCACACGCGGGTGAAAACAGATTGCTTCAGTCTATAACAAAGAGTTCTGGTTTTAAATTCTACGATATTGGAATGAGATTCGGTTCTGAAGAATGGAGGGTTATCCGCACCATTTTGCATAAGCGCGCCACCAAACCAGATAACTGTAAAAGTGTCCCGACTCCTTCGAGAATTCGCATGTGTGTGAACCCGATCTCCTACCGGAAAGATGAGGCCAGAAATAGAGACAAACGAGAGGATAAACCTTGATATACTCCAGCTTGGTATATTCAGGCATCCTAGAGAACGTGTCAATAGAAGAGCGAAAGCCACGACGGCGACGCACTCATCGAATGTCTTGACCACTCGGAAAACAGTCACCACGATATCAACAGCGCTGTAGCCTTGTGACCAGAGCTCATTGAGCTTCTCCATCGCTGTATCGATATCGCCCTTCATGCACGCTCGAATTGTCGTCTGTACGATGATGGGATGGGGCTGGTCGCACACTTTGAAGACGTTGTCGCCCGAAACGAATCCGAATCCGGAGTGAGTCGACTGAAGGTTGTTGATCGCCTGCCGCATATCCCCCTCAGACGTGAAGATGAGTGCCGTCAGCCCATCGTCGTTGTATTCCACCTGTCGTCACGAGAATGTAAACCAAACACACGTGTAGTGTGGGCTACGTACCTTCTCCATGTCACAAATCTCCAGCAACCGCTTCAGAATCTCCTGGTCTCGGAGCTTCGCATACCTCAAAATAGCGCAACGGCTTTGTATGGGTTCGATGATCTTGTTGCTCATGTTACATGCTAAACAAAATCGCGTCGTGTTGGAGTAGATTTCCATCGTCCGCCTCAACGCTTGCTGAGCGCCCGCAGTCATGCTGTCCCAATTTCAGCCTCACAAGAGAGTGCATATCTCAGAACCCACCTATCAGCTTCGTCTAAGATCACAATCTTATGTCGGCCCTTAGGGAGTGTGACCTTCTTTTGTGCAAACGTCTTGATTTTGTTTCGAACGACGTCTATTCCACTGTTAATAGTCAGACACGCGACACCCGCAATCGAAGGGGTAACGGACCGCTCGTCAGACGCGTTCAGTTCTAGAACACCCTCTTTATATGCGTCGCCCAGTAGCTGATGCGCCAGACAATGTATACTGGTCGTTTTGCCGATGCCTGGCATACCCTGCGCCCAGATAAGAAACCGGTTTGAGTTTCAGACATGATGCGTACGGATATGATGATGTGAGGACAGTTTCCGTCTTTCGCAATGACCTTCAATCGATCAATGGTGTCTGCATTCCCGACAACATCGTCCAAAACAACAGGTCGATATTTCTCGACCCTGAGAGATTTGAGGGCCAGGGCTTGGCTATGGTTTGGAATGCCTCACCAGGGGAGTTCATATGGCTGCTCAGCTGTTTTCGTTCCTGTGGAGGAGGACATTCAAGAGAGAGACGCGTTGTTGTGTTTTGCTTGGCAGAGTCGATCAAAGTGTCCCCTTGCTCTGGATTCCATGTCGGTGGCGCGCTGCAGCTCAAATTCGAGCATCCGGTCCTTTCTCCACACCGGTGAGTACCTTGAATCTCTCTCAGAAAATGTCACCGACCGCAATCTGTTGAGCTCAAAGACAATGCCGCTATTCCTCAACCTCCGCAACTACGACCCATCGAATCTTGCCTTTACCGAGGCTAGATTACCGTGCCATCTCGGAAAATGTTGTATACAAGTCCAACAATGCTCTCAACCGTAAAGCACCGCTCCCGCATGATGCGGTCCAATCTGTTGCTCGAAACTTCAAGGAATTCAAAACGTTGTCGGGCGAACTTAATTCTCAGCGGAATGCTCGATCTGTAGTTGGGGAACGAATTAAACGGAGCGCGACAGAGAAGAACTTAGTGGAGAAGGAGGCCGCGCTCGCCGAAGCACTCAAGATGAAGGAGAGCATCGTCCAGTTGGAGTCTACTCTGAGTAAGCTCGAAGAGGAGATGCTGGCCACTGCGCTGGCCCTCCCGAACGACACGCATCCCTCCTCCCCGCTTGGACCCGAGTCTGCTGCCGTACTTCTGTCTACACATGGTCCTCCACCAATACCCGCAACTCCAAAACGCGACCACGTGACGATTGCACAAAAATATGGGCTGCTGGATCTTGAGAAGGCGGCGACGGTGACCGGCAATTCATGGTATTATCTAATTAATGAGGCGGCGCTTCTCGAATTGGCGCTCACCAACTATGCACTGTCTGTCGCCATCAAGCATGGTTTCACACCAGTCATGACGCCAGACGTTGTCCGCTCAGACATTGCGGGCCGTTGTGGCTTCCATCCCCGAGACCACGCGAGCCAGACCTATCACATCCAGAGCAAGTCTCAAGACTTGATCCTGGCTGCGACTGCTGAGATCCCTCTCGCTGGCATGTTCGCCAATCACATCCAACTGGAACGTACGTTGCCCATCAAGGTCGCTGGGGTCGGGCACGCGTTTCGTGCTGAGGCTGGTGCGCGCGGCGCAGACACACGGGGGCTGTATCGCGTTCACCAGTTCACCAAAGTGGAGCTGTTTGTTGTCTCGCCTCATGACGAAAGCGAGCAGTTGATGGAGGACATGAAAAATGTGCAAATCTCCATATTAAGTGGCCTGAACCTCTCCTTCAGGTGTGTCTTGAAAAGATGGAAGGCGCCAATCTAACTGTGAAATAGGGTTTTGGATATGCCTTCGGAAGAGCTGGGTGCCAGTGCGTATCGCAAATATGACATGGAAGCATGGATGCCCGGCCGGGGAACATGGGGCGAGGTGTCCTCTCTTTCGAACTGCACCGACTACCAATCTCGGCGATTGCATATTCGGTACAGAGAGAGCGCGCCCAACACAACACCGACGAGTCCCTTCGCCCATACCTTGAATGGGACAGCTGCTGCAATCCCACGATTGATCGTCGCACTGCTCGAGAACGGCGCGATATTCGATGACCGAGACGAGCTTATTGGCATCGCTCTGCCCGAGGTCCTGCGTCCATTCTGGATAGGAGAGTCCAAGCCTTACATCCAGTGGCAATAATGTTATTACAGTATATATATCCTATACATGCAGCTTTACATTGAAATCACCCCTCATCAATCCGCGAATGGATCTGCGAATGGATCCTCGTTCGCGTGGCGCGTGGAATTGAGATCGTCTACAGAGACGGTCACGTAGTTCCGGTATTCCCGAGACGGGCCAGCTTGATGCGAGTCTTCGTCTGAAGACTGGTAGTCGCTGAAATCAGAAAGCGAACCCCGGTCATAAGCAGGATTGGCGTCTTCCCCATCGTCGGAAAGCGTCGATGGCCGCAGCGGCGTCGGTAGGTTCTGAGAGGAAGACCCAAGCGGACCAAAACTGAGGTCATGCAGATCTGGATGAACATTGGTGTCCTGGCCCCGGAACGAGTTTTGCTTCGCCCGTTCAATGGCGGCCCGCTGCTTGCCTTGCAGTTTATTCAGCTCGGTCTCAGACGAATTGATCTGCGCAGTCGCTAGTCCGGACGTGATCTCAGCTGAAGCATCGGCTTCTTCTGGAGCCTGAGGCACAGATAATTTGTCATACATCTCCAAAGCTTGGATGATCCTGTCGTTCGTCTCAATCAAGGTGCCGATAAACTCCTCGTTTTCGACCAGCTGGTCCATGGGTTGAGCAGCAAGCACTGGTTGATGTACCACAGACTTCTGACCTGGATGTATCTGATGATACTTTTGCGAACCAGTTTCGCTTGCGACAAGCATTCTTGAACTCGAGCATTATCCGGTAAACTCTCCTTTTCTTGATTGACGAGCTGGACAAGGCAGTCAATGCAATGCGAGAGCAAGCGTGAAGCTACGACGAACTGTGATGGCGTTGACAAGATTACTCGATGCTTGTGACGCTTCAACGATGCTATGCAACACTTTCGGTTTTTCCTGTCAAGAGTTTCAGTAAGTATGCCCGAACGAAAGTTGCAGTCGAACCTTCTCAAAGTCGAAAGGTGCCCGCTTGGGCCGGTTCTTTCTCTCCTTCTCCTTGCGGCGTTCCTCGGCCTCCTTCATGCGCTTCTCGGCCTCTTCCTGTCTTTGCTTCTCCTTCGCTTGCTCACGGTCCAGCTTGGCTTGCTCGCGCTCCAACTTTGCTTTGCGTCGCGCCTCACGATCCAAAGCTTCACCGTCCGGCAATCCCATCGTGTCCATCGACGCAGCCCTTTCGCTCCGCTCATGTCGCACTTGCTTGTAGAGCCCTGCCACACCGGCCATCGAGGGCTCTGATTTAAACTGCTCCTGCCACGATGCCAGCACCAACAGCAACTTCTTCTTCACTTTCTTGTCCGTGTACGCGTCGTTCCCAAGGTGTTTCAAGGCATCAGTCAGCTGCCCATCCGCAAACGTAGCTATTTTATCGGATTTGAGGATGCACTCTTCCGATGCCGATCATGGACGCACTTTGAAACTTGTGCCCGCCATTTTCGACCAGTGCCTTCAAGATCTGCGACGCAGTTCAGCTAGTACGATCGGCCGATTGGAAAGCGGACTGACAACGAGAGCACGGTACTGCTGATGGGGGCGGCCATGTTTGAGCTTCTTCCGAATAGCTCGAGATGCCTCCGCAGGTCTGCACGCGGGATTAAGCGCCTGGTCACAACACGAGCTGATAAGATAATGAATCACCCTCCGCCTTGCAAGCTTATCGAATCGACGAGTTCAGGAATTCTGAGAAGAAGTAAGACGGAGAGAATGGTGGCTGAGAGATCGAATGGCCCGACCCGTCATATGCCTCATCTGCCACCGAGTCTGCGGTGAGGATATCGACCCAATCGGTGACCGAGGACTAGATGGCACTAGGAATGAGCGAAAGACCCGTATTTTAGCGCTACTGACATGCGGCTTCTCCGTTTTGAAGGCATTCTTTGCGAAGGAAATAGCGGACATGGTGATAGACTTGTCCAAGGGAACTATGATGATGTCATCAGGTGCCGGGCCGGTAATCAGAGCGAACAAGAAGTACAAGATGCAAGTAAGTACACGAAAAATTTACAGTAAAGAATCAAGCAGTCCATGAGTATTATCCGGACGCAGCTTCGCCGAGATTGGGCTGGATATTGGGATTGTGCATCACGATTGCCTGACTGGTGACAGGCGATTCGAGGTAAAGTCTGGACATGTGTTCAGTCGATGTGGGTACCGAGTAAATCTAGCGCAAACCTGATCAGCACCGCCTCCAGAGCAGCAACACTCGGCGCGGGATAATCATAGCTGCGCGCATGGACTCGGATAGATTCGAAGAGCGTCGACATATTGTCCCATCGGTCGGCAGAGGCTGTAGGAGCAATCGGCTGCGGCGGTGGCGGCGGTGCGTGATGGAACTGGGGGTAATGGGGAACACTTGCAGACTGAACAGCAGGGGGAGGCGGTTGTGGTTGCGGCTGGAAACTTGCGTGCTGTGGCGGTAGCGGTGCGATCATGGAGATGGTATTGGTGAACTGCTCGGGATTGCCTCCTGAGCCACTGGCAACTGGGCCCCCGCCGTCTTGAGATCCCCCTTCACCCCCTTCAGCACCAGCTTTCTTGCGATTACTGCGCGACTTCTCCTTCTCTTGTTCCACAGTCGCTTTGCGCCCGCGACGGGTGAAAGGTAGGTTGGCCAATCCGATCTCGTGAGAATGCTGGTCTACATCTAAGGGAGACAGTCAGTGGACTCACGCCATCTGTCATTCACTGGGTCACCTACAGCACACTCTCACTTCCTCGGTGTCGAAATAGGTCTTGTAACTGATTGATGCGTTGCATCCGTCACCTTCAATCTTGTCGCCCATGAGTAAGCGCATCAACGGATGAGATTCAGGCGGACCTTGCGACTAGGGACCTTGCGGACTCGTTCAGGGTACTTCTTGACATACTTCTTACGTCCACTGCGAGAGTGCCGAGCACAGACTAGTTTTGTATGATCTTTGAATCGCGGCGGGTCGGCTTTACTTCCATGTGTATCCCCCTGTGAGGGGTTTGAGCGCTTATATAAATCGGCCAGAGGGACGTTCGCACCTTCACGAATTCGACCGATTTCTGAATTTCCTCTTCTTCTCTCCATTTATCAAACTCCTCCAAGTTCGCGAAGCAGAGAGTGTAGCCGTCATCTGAGTCTCCAGCGCCATAGGGTCGTTTTTTGGATGGCGTGAGGTCGACTGGAACATGATTCGTTGCGAAAGTCTGGTTGTTAGGGATGGTGGCATTCAGATGAGGGGGCAATGATGCTGCCACGCGAAAGTGTTGGAAGGACATTTTCCCTCTCGGCGGTCGCTTTTGGGCTCAAAAGTAGAGATCAACGACAAGATTGGCAAGAATATGCCGAGCGATCAGTCGTCACATATCACGGACGTGACCGAGCAGTTATGCCTCTCCGAAATTCTTTGCATCGCCGAAACCACAAGGAGCGCTCTCAGCTAGCGCATCGGTCGCGTCTCGGAGTGCTAGAAAAGCACAAGGACTATGTTCAGCGTGCCCGGGACTACCACTCCAAGCAGGACAGACTCAATCGTCTCAAGCAGAAGGTTAACGAACGAAACAAGGATGAGTTCTACTTTTCCATGACGAAACAGGCCACCAAGGTGCGTCTCAATGTGGACTGATTGGCTTCACTCTCTCTGATATGAGTTCTAGGGTGGTGTGCATATTGCGGACCGAGGAAATGTGGCCCTTCCTCAGGATACTGTGAAACTACTCAAAACCCAGGACGAGAACTATGTCCGCACGATGAGAGCCGCGGGTCTCAAAGTGAGCACGGATGCTATATCTTTTGACTTCCTTTTACAAATGCCCTGCTTAGAAAATCGACAAAATCAAAAACCAGCTGATGTCGATGGCGGACTTGCTGAAACCGGGACTGTTCGACGAAGAGGAAGACGCTGCCGATCTGGATCCCGACGAACTCGAGATACTTCAAAGTGCCGGCCTCGTTTCGCAGACAAAAAAGAAGAAGGCCAAAGGTCGTGCGACCCCAAAACATATCGTGTTCGTGGAAGATGAAGCTGAAGGTGTGTCATCTGCGGTATGACTGAGCACTTCTCGGTACTGACTCATGAAAAGCACGAAACTACGCTAGCGCTAGTAGCTCCCATACATCGCTCGATGAACCTATGCCCACCGCAGCTTCAGACGAAGAACCCGACCTCGGTTGGAAGGTTTCGAAGTCACGCCGACGCCACACAACACAAGACGATGCGGTTGACGAATCTATGCTCGACGAGGAAGAGCACCTGGAAGTCGCCCGCACCAATCGCACGCGCCTGTTGAAGGAGCTTTCTGCGCGGTTATTCCGTGATCGACAGCTGCGATATGCAGAACGAGAGTTCGAGATGCAACGCCAACTCATGGGCAAAGGCGCGCGGCAAAAAATTGCGGGTGTCGAGGCTGTGGACGGAGACGATGACGAGGAAGATGAAGATGAGATTGACGCGAGGCGAGGAAAACGAAAGGAGCCGAAGCCAAAGTTCGTGGATCCCAAGACCTACAAGCCGAGAGTCTACAAATGGCGTTTGGAGCGTAAAAAGTAGCATAGCGATGCGATGCTGACTGGATCAGTATGCAATGTGATAATGAGTCCGGCAGGAGTATAGGGCCAACCACATCATGGAATACAATGCCGGTGCATTCAGGTTAATTATGGAGTACCACGTCCCACTGCCTGACACATCCATCTGCGCCAGCACTGACCAACTTGCCCTCTCCGACCCAGAGCACACTGTTCACACCACCGGGGCCTGCGTTCTTGAGCGCAATGTTTCGAGTCGGGTTAGCCACACTCCAAATGTACACATGGGTGTCCAGAGATCCCGAAGCACAGTGCTTGGAATCAGCGGTCCAACACAAAGAGTTAACGCGAGCAGAGTGGAAGGACCATCGGGCAGTGACCAACTGCGATCGCCGGGTCAAAGCTTGTGAAAAAATCAGGGACGCGACGAACCTTCTGCTCTTTCACGTCGTACAAAGCTATCCGACCGCTAGACTAAGGAGATTTGAGCGGAATGGATTGCAGTGGAGTGATTGCTTACATCACCAACGGCCAGCAGAGCTCCGTCTGGAGAGAACTCAATGGCCGAGACAACACCCTTGTTGTTATCGAGAACGCCGGTCTCCTTGAATGCTGTCCCACTCCACTCATAGAGCCTGACTTTCTGATCCTCTCCTCCAACCGCAACGACCGACGCGCTCGTTCCCACAGCACTCGGCACAAATTTGGTGGCCAGATGCGTCACCTTCTGGTTGTCCCGCACAGCTTCGACTCCCCCGGCTTCGGCAACAAATACCGTCCCGTCCGCAGCAACTGCGATCGCCTTTGGCTGAGAAGCAGTCCCGATGGAAGCTTCAGTGAAACTCGCCGCTTGGATCTCTCGAAGTCGATCATCAAAGCCTGCCGAGAAGATCTTGCCGTTCGACCCAGATGCAAGTCCCACAACCAGGCCGGTATGGGATTGTCCATGTACGGCTTTGGTTTCGCCTGAGGAGGTTGTGTATTCGACGATCCGTCCATCGGCAGTTCCAGCAAGGAAAGTTCCGTTACTGGATGGGGCCACTCCGGTGATTGACTTTTGGGGACCCTGCATTCGATATTAAGACGGACTGGAGTAGATTGAGAGAAGGAGATTCTCCGCTCACCGTGAATACACGGCCTGGCTTATCTCCCGCACGGGAATCGAATACATTGAGATCCCCAGACAACGATAGAGAAACGATGTCCGTTTCACGACTCCAAACGTTTCCGACCTGTTGGTTGTTCACTCCAGCTCCCAGCGACCAGGTAGTTGTTGCTTTATGAGTCTCGATGTCCCCTAAAAGTCTGAATCAATGTGGGCATCGCTTTCTGTCAACCCGACGACCCACAAAGCTTGACGGTTCCATCGGCTGACGATGTTGCGAAAGATTTGCTATCCGGACTCCAGGAGCAAGCCATCTGGATTGCTCAGAGAAGGCTCCCGAAAGAAGACATAAGATACGGACCACACTACCCTTGTGCGGGCTGTCGGTGAACTCTGCAATCGTGTCCCCAGTCTTGCCGTCGTACAAGAACACCTTGTAGTCCGAGCCCACACTCGCGAAGTGGTCTCCGGAAGGAGAGTAACGCACATCCTGGACAAATTTGGTGTGTGTCCGGATGGTCTGAACAGCCTCATCAAAAGCTTGCTATGTAGATCGCGACGCGAGAAGAACCTTGTCATACTTGAACGGTACACCTGGAGCCCGAAATTAGGATTTCAGAAAGCGCAGTGGTAAACCAGACAAACCCTGGTGGAAGATGATATTAGCGTCATCTCCAGCTGTCACAGCACGGAAAGGACGCTGGTGGCGGATAGCGACAGCATTGATCGCCTGAACGAGGATGATCAGATATTCCTGAGAGCCATGTCCATCCGAATGACCTTGGAATGGCCAGCGATCTCACCAGTGGACGAGCCGCTATCCATCATGAAAGCGTGTCCAAATCTGAAGCAGTAGCGTCAGGAATGAGAACCCGAAATACAGACAGGACGCGTACTTCTCCCGCCCATCGCCCACGGCGATGATCCGCTTGCTTTCTCCGTCCCATTCCAGATCGTTTCTATGAGGGACGTCATACCTGGGACATCGACGAGGCGTGCGACGTACATGCGACCTGCGATGACCTTGTACTCCCCCTTTAGAACCTGATCTTCCCCTACGGTGTCCCACACCCGTACTGGATCGCAGCATCAGTTCACGCGCGCAGCGGGTGTTGCGAATGCGATGCACCGGTCCCGAAGGCGTCCGCAGACGCGCAGTAGTACCCTGATGGAGAGATTCGAGCGACCGTCGTGTTCTGGACATGCCCCGTGTACACAGTCGCGAGCAATGGATTCTGTGAAGGTATGCGTTGATTGATGGCGCTGCCAGTGGGGATTGACACAGGACCTCACGTTCAGATCACGAATCTGGAAGCGGGAATTCGTAAGGCACCATTGCTACTAGCTCTGGGAGTGAGTTCTACGCACGATAACCGACTTCCCATTTGTATAGACGATCTTGTCCTTGTGCGCACTTAGTTTCGTTGACGTTCCGCGGGTCGTGTTAGGCGTCGGTGGAAACAGAGACGTTTGCTTGAAAGACATGATAGTTCAAGAACGGATGGATCAGCGCGCAGCACTAGCTTCCAAATTGTGGCGATTGACTAAGGATGGATGATTCTGTACGATAGTGATAGAGACTTCGAGAGGGGGCGTGCCGATGCGTTGCCGAGATGATCGCATCACGCCAGCTGTCACGAAATTCAGCTCCAGACTCCAGTTAGCCAGCGAAAGATTACAAGACTTGTAGACTTGGTCCAGGATTCCACAAAAAAAAATCAGAGTACATAAATACACTTATAACGCCGACGATTTAATTATGCAGCCAGAGCAAGAGTGGCAGACGACCTTCTCTTTGAGCCCGTCTGCACTCACATCATAACTATGGACATGTCGCGTGAACAGTCGAGCAGAGCGGTGTAAAGAAGCCATCTTCTGCAGATGAAACAGGGCTATCCAATCCTCTGACAGGCACTGTCGAAGCAAAGGCGCGAGATGGAGGCCGCGAGCCAACTGGGACCTGAATTGAGTTCCTTCAAGCAGGCATAGTTCCTACTGCAGCTGATTGAGTTTCATGGCCGGCAAAGGCAAACTCTGGGACTGTTCACGATGAGGGGGCCCCGGCATGTTCAGCGAGTGTCGCCGGACACGAGACATCAAGATTGAGGTAATCCGAGTGGGAACGTCTTGTGGACTGATGGGAGACGAGGATGTTCTGTGCCATGCCGTGCGATTCAGTTTGGGGCTGAGATAGTGGATGCCTGGAAGTCTGCTGAGAAGAGTGATGCTATAGAGAGGAACACAATGCTTACCGCCTTCTGACTCGGATGCGATGTCAAATCGTTGTGCTACTTGCTTCAGGAAGTCGCAGACATTCTGAACCGCATTTGGGATGTCGTCCTTCCATCAAGAATGAGCAGAGAAACAAAGGCAGAGAGAAGCCGACCAACATCCTTGAGGATGTAGCCCCAATCGTCGTCGTGGGTGATCACGACACTGGCTTTGGAGACTTCAGTTGTATTCGCTGAGCGAGAGAAATAGAGAGGAATATAGGGACCAACTGGCACCCATTGGGACCCATCGGAGACCAACCAATACGTACCCGTTCGACTCCATCGTACGGTCAACTGGCTCGTCGATGTACATATTGCGCGATGAAATCGGAGTCTCCATGAATAACATCAGGTTGGGTCAGGAGGACGAGAGAGTGAGAGTGAGAGCAGAAGGAAGGGAAGGCACCTACAGATCAGTACCGATTGTGCATGTACACCAAACAACAAGGCCGGCCTGGTGGTACGCACGGAAGAATACACCCGGTCGTGATCAAACTGAGTCGTGTCCGCTGCCAGAAATGGACACAAGATACAAAAGACTAGGCAGTCCGGATCAGGCCGACTGGCAAGACGCACACCCAAGATGGAGCAACCGCTTCTCTGTGTGCGTCTTCTAAACAGATGATGATCCAGGCTGTGTCTTGCACGCAGGGTGTCGCGATCTTTCGTATAACAAGCGAAATGGGACCTCGGAGCTGACTTCCTCCCGCACTACCACATGACTCACACAGCCTTTCAGACCCTTCGCATGACCCATTCTTGGATGAACTCGGTGAGGCGAAGTGGACGGATGAGGATCTGTGCGCGTTTGAGCCACGGACCGTGTCCTTCTTCCGCCGATCGTCAGCAATTGGATGGCCGAGAGCTCGCCCATCTTCGTCATGCCGCTGACAGTGGGTGAGTCAAGTCCGTCAGCGAGGCTTGGTCGCGGCCGCGAAAGCGTTTCGTTGCCGGCATCAGTGCCGCCGCAGATGCAGCGGCAAACCTTGAAGTGATGGTTCGCGCCCGTCGGTCACCGGTGAAGCCTCGCATCGGCCAATCGTGATTGACCTGCGGTGGATCTGCGAAATCTCATCAGCAATCTGTATATGATAGCTCTGGATCATCACACTTACCAGTTGCCACAAGACCTGTTCCCGTTCATTCGACGCGCTGGAGGTGGATATACAGCTAAACCACGGGCTACGTCTAGCATGGACGATGACATAGCCATCTTGCAGTGCTTGCGTTCGAGATGTCTAGGATCCCTTACATAGCATGCCCATTCTTAGCGAGGGATGACCACTTTCAGGCCCCTGTGGCCGCTCAAAGGATGCCCAGAATTTCCATAGAGACAGGACTCTTCGACTGCTGATTCTCCGAGTAAATCACGCTTAGGTACACTGGTGGTCGAGGGGAGAAGGAGAAAATTGGCACAGCCAGAATAACAGCTCATAATGATTATCGTACCGCCACATCAGTTTATCGCACCGCCACTTCACAGCGTAAGAACAGAGTTATTACTGAGGCTAGTGATTCGATAGTCCAGAGCGGATGTTAGGTGGGTGGATAGATAAGATGTATATGAAATAGTCCGCGAATGATACAGGTCCGACTACATGAAATATGCGACGAGTGAAGCGATAATTACCGCAGCGCCGAGCTGGGCGCGAGATACTACGACATCGGAGGGAGAGCCGCCTGTCGTGGATGAGCCACTAGTGGATGAGCTGGAGGAGGTAGATATGGGCACTGCGATTGGCGTAGTGGGAGCATAAGTCACTCCATTGAGTCCGGCTGCGACTTGAAACACGGAACCACCGCCGTATTCATAGAACTGCAGGTTACACATCAGACCTTCTCCATCACGTATCATCTCGCGACTCACATCGACCAGCATGAAAGTCGGTGGTCGTCCGTATTGGGTCTGACAGAGGGCAGCCTGAGTGCCAAGAGCTCTGGTTCCTGACACGGCGTTCGTCGTGTTCGCATCCGCTACATCCGGAACAGGACTGCCGAACACTGCACCATTCGCACGTCAGCATGTCCCCCACCGGTCTCCTGAGTAAACGACGCACCGACAGTGTCGAAGAAATGGTTGATGACGTACATGCTCGTCGCAGTGTCCGCAACATGCGAGCGATTCACACTGCAATCGAACGACGTCGTGACATCGAATGGGGTTTCCCACATATTGGTAAACTCTGTTCCGGATCAGAATTGCTGAAAATAGCTGTGACCAAGGAAAGCGCTCGCCGTCAATCAGGTAGGGTGCAACTGTTGTATCTGCTCCATTGTCGAGGAATGTCACCAGTCGTGTACCCGCGTCAATCAGAGTACTCAATGTCGGCCAGTTGTTGTATGTCAGCGGAAGGCTCGTGGGAGCGTACGAGAGCTTGTCCACGCCCGCAGCAGCGAAGACAGATGCGAAACTGGATGCCGGGAAGTTGTCCGAGTTGACAATAAGCAGTGTCACCACTGTAAGCAAAGTCCGATGAGCGCAACTCGATTTGAATTGAATTGACTGGCTGACCTTCGTTAGGATTGGCATCCATCCATGTTTTCACTGAAGCGATCTCAGCCTGAGGACAAGAAGCAAGCAGGGTAGATCGGAACCTTTCGTCAAGTAATCTTGGAGCGTTCCTCCGTTGTACAAGACCTGCCGCGAACTCGTCGGGGGAGGAAATCGCCGGTGAGGACTGCGGACTTACGCAACTGGTGTGACATAACTGGATAGTGCCGCTGTTATTGTGCACCTGGGACTGAAGCATCCGTACTCCATCTGTTAGTTGCTGTGTGACTGAAAGCATCGTTAACAATGTCCCATGAGCGAAACTGAGTCCACGCACTATCGTAGTCCTGATTGACCGCGACTGAGGCCGCCTCAGTATCCACCGGGCCACTATACAAGCGGAAACGCACGATTGTTAGTGCCGACGGCATAAGAGTCGTGGGCCCCAATGTAGGTGATATTGCCGTAGCTCCTGTTGCAAAGCTGCGCCCTCCATGAGCCACCATAGAGACGCTCAGAAGCATGTAATCACTTCGCTGTGGCCATTGCAAGTTGTAGCGCGTCGCAGCGTGCCGGCACTCCCGACAGCAGCCAATAGAGAGAATAAAACGCCTTGAAGCAGGCCGCTCGATTTCAAGAGCATGGTAAGATTGGAAGCAACGACCGTGAGATAGAAATAGGTTCGTGAAGGAGTAAAGAAAGAAAGACTGGATGGGGAAAGAATTACGGAGTTCGGAATGCGGCTATTCTGTCTGCGCGCTTGGCAGCTGTCGTGATCGATCACTGCTCTGCTTGGCCCAACGTCTAAATCCCTTACAAGCTTGACCACAATCCTGCCCATGTCCAACACAAAGCGAGTGGTTCTCGTCACTGGGTGTTCCGAAGGAGGCATTGGCTACGCGTTGTAAGCATCTCTCACTGCGCTCCGACCATCGCAGCGGCGCCTATTCGTTTCCAGATGCGAGCGTTTTGCAGCGGAGGGGTGCCGAGTGTACGCGACTGCGCGACGCCAAGATGCCATGGCAGGATTGGATCAGCATCCCCTTATTTCAACGCATACTCTGGACATTGGAATAGAGGAGGACGTGCGACGAGTCGTAGATCAGGTGGTTGAGGAGCAAGGGCAAATCGACATCGTGGTCAATAACGGTACCGACAAGTTCTCTCTCTTTGACTGAGCTTAATGACTGAACATTACAGCTGGGGTAATGGGAATCGGTGAGCGACATCTCTTGTGATGAGCTGGCATGAACTGGGAAAGGTCCACTTATGTGTGTGCTGCGTCTCGCCTGCCAACATCTTCCGCATAGCCTAACTAATGGCAAACCAGCGAGCAACCTATCGACTACGTCAAGAACGTGTTCGATACCAATGTCTATGGCGCATTACGCGTCTCTCAGGCCGCGTTTCCTCACATGGCGGACCGTAAAAGTGGTCTCATCATTAACATCGGGTCTGTCGTGGGCGACATGTAGGTAACATTCCGTCGTCATCCACGTCCAGTCTCAATTGAATCTTTCAGTCCAGTACCGTGGAACGGGTTGTATTCCGCCTCCAAGGCTGCGTTGCATTCTATGTCCGAAATCCTCATGATGGAACTTCGTCCATTCAACATCCAAGTGATGAACATAACACCTGCCGCGGTGCGCTCAAACATCTCCAAGAACCAAAGATCTATTTTTCGGTAAAGCAGCGCGGTCAGAACGCCAACTCGATCTTGGGCTTATCATCTGCCTCGCAGGTTGCCCGAGTCTTCCTACTTCACCGCCTATCTGCCGAGTATCCTGAGGCGGATGAACTCGAGTCAGAGCCCTGACGCCATGCCCGAGGACACATTCGCTCGAAAAGTGGTATCCGCTGCACTGAAAAGTCAGCCTCCGACACACTTGACTTTGGGAGGAGGTGCATTCACCTTCCAAGTCTTGCGCTGGCTTCCAAGGTCCTTGGTGTTCTGGATTTTGTGGAGACGATTTTCCAAGACCACGTAGTCATATCATGAGTCGTTTCTTGTTTCCGCGGATGTCGATCTTGTCTTGGACCTAAAACACTGATTATCTCGGCTTAGACCTGAGCACGATTTAGAATCTAATCGGCTATCATCACGTGGGCGCGACTCTTACCAGCTTACCACTTCCACTGGAAATGCTTACCACCAGTTTCTGTGATACCGGCAGCCCTGGAACGCTGATCTCCATCGCTTTCTAACCCGAAAATGAAGCGCATCCACTTGCGTTCTATCGACCTGCACCCGACACCATCTGACGTCAAAGTACTCACTCGGATTTTGGCTATACTCGGTACCAATTCGCTCACAAGGATTCAAAATTAGTTACACCGCCTGCCTCATGCTCTTAGTCTGAGCTGATACCTACTCGGGCGCGACGAGGATCTGTAAATGAGTGTCAATTGTTCCAAGATAACTACCTCAGGTATTTATCTGGAGACGACTGCCTTGCACTCTCTTGTACCACCATCCCATCCACATGTCTGACCCCAAAGTCGTTCTTATCACTGGCTGCTCACTCGGAGGTATTGGCAGTGCCTTGTGAGTACTGACCGTCTTACTCTCCAGTCCTGCCTGCAACTCACACACTTCACCGCAGGGTTGAACGATATGCCGCCGAGGGATGCCGAGTCTATGCGACTGCTCGACGCAAGGAAGCTATGAACGGACTGGATGCCAACCCTCTCGTCTCGCTGCACACGCTGGATATTCTCAGCGACGATGATGTACGCAGAGTCGTCGACCAAGTTGTTGCTGAGCAGGGCAAGATCGATATCGTGGTGAACAATGGTCAGTCACTGAGACATAGCCTTTGTGAGCGGTGTGAAACTTACCTGTTTCTTCAGCTGGCGTTCTGGGAATCGGTCAGTTCGTATACTCGGTCTTCTATCTCGGTTGCCTAACCAATGTTGTTTGAAAAGGCCCTCTCATGTGAGCAAATGTCCGATCGTCAGTTTCTGATCGAATGCCGAGCGATTTTCAGTGAACAGCCTATCACGAACACCAAACATGTGTTTGACACCAACGTCTACGGCGCCCTGCGTGTTGCCCAGGCGGCATTCCCCCACATGGCGGCCAAGAGAAGCGGGCTCATTGTCAACATCGGATCTGTCGTCGGTTACATGTGTGTTCGGCTTTTTGATGCACGATCTACACCTCTTAAGTCTGGTCCAGTCCCACGCCCTGGAACGGCCTCTACTCGGCTAGCAAATCGGCCATGCATGCCATGTCCGAGATCCTCATGATGGAATTGCGTCCTTTCAACATCAAGGTCTTGAATGTCACGCCGGGAGGGATCAAATCCAACATCTCCGACAATCAAGCCCAAGTCTTCTCGTTCGTTCAGATCTTCAAGCTGCCATTTTCCACCTCATTTTCCTCCACAGCCTGCCCGACACGTCACGATATTACAGCTATCTTCCAAGCATGATTCGACGGATGAACGCGAGCCAGAGTGCCAACACCATGCCAGCAGATGTTTTCGCCCGCCGCGTGGTGGCTGCCTCACTCAAGAAGACCCCTCCGACACACTTCATGTTGGGGCACGGAGAGTGGTTATTCTCTTTCTTCCGCTGGTTGCCGCGCTCTATTGTTTTGTGGTTCTTGTGGAGAGTATATTCAAAAACAGAGTAGACGAGCTTGTGTACGTGGGAGGTCAGAATGAAGTTATAGTAAAGATCACGTGGACGCGTCTGATGCATTGAATGTCATCCTCATCTCCTTCCGCACAACCATCCTTGCCCTCGTACTAGATGTCCAAATACCCGGACTATCTCTCACCCAATGTTACTCCGACTAAGCTTGGCAAATCTCAGAAGTCGCGTGCCCGGCGGGAACCCTCGGGCGTGTTCTCTTTGTTTCAGGCGCCGCAGATCCAGCAGTTCAAGGAAGCGTTCCAGCTGATCGACCACGACAAGGATGGATGGGTGGGAGAAAAAGACTTGAAGGAGATTTTCGCCAGCTTGGGTCTGTGCTAACTCCGCCCTCATGGCCGCACCTGACAATCCCTATTCCCACCAGGCATATCACCCTCCGCCTCGACCCTCGACGCTCTCTTGCAGTCTAGGCCGGGCGACTCTTCGGTCTCCGACTCTGACCGTGGAATCAACTTCACGATGTTCTTGACGATGATGTCGGAACGGCTGTTCGAGTTCGACACGGAAGCTGAATTGTTGACGGCGTTTGAGAGTTTCGACGAAGCGGACAGCGGCACGGTCAAGGTTGACGAAATGCGGAAGTGGCTGAGCGAGATCGGCGAACGCATGAACGAACGTGAGGTCAGTGGCAGGCCGGAAACGAGACTGATCTTGGATCTCGTCTTGGCCGTTCTCCTGACATCCTATGCGTGGGCTGATCCATCCATATCCGTTGCAGATCGACAAGCTGTTGAAGGGGCCTTTCACCGACAGGCAAGGGAACTTCAACTATCGGGAGTGGGTCAAGGTGTTGAGAGTGAACGAAGACGAGCCAGATCCAACCGGGTACTAGGCCTGACTCACGTCGGACTGACTCAAAACTTGTGTATTCTTACGACTGTGTGTACATCTAATGCCTTACTTCGTTCCCCAAACAGGTCGATTCTCACCTGCCCCGATCCCAACAGTTGGCGATTCTTTGCGCCCCCATCATGACGTCTCTATATTTATTGCTGGTCTCAGGCGTTTCCTTGGAACGTTCCCGTGATCGTGAACTGTCTCACTTCTGAAGATTGGCTTAAGATCAAGTCGAAAGCACATCTGTGACTCCTATAGCTAATCGACTGCAACGGCTGTTCAATAAGGAACCACAGGCGTAAATTCCAAGGCTCTGGCCTACTGTACTCCTCCAAATCTGACATAGTGCGCCTCGGGTGCTTTATATTCATCTGTTACTTGTCGCCTGCCTCTTATGAATCAGGATCCCTGGCTGAGATGGTACTTTACGAAGTTGCGATGTCCCCTGAGGACCTGAGCGCCAAGCGATCAAAGAAGCACCGTATGGGCTGGGCAGCCGGAGTCGGATGTCGCCGGGCGGCAGGTCACTGCCACATAGACCTCCTCTGGCTTGGCACGACACCTTTTAAATGCAGGATCACGGTCGCCTGTCCCATTTTCCCAACCGGCTTCTTCCCGTGCCTCCTGCACACCCCCACCCGCATCCCATTATATGCCCGACGCCTCTTCACCCCCCTCCCCACCGCTCTCCGCCTCAAAGGCCGCCGACGAGACGGAGCTCTCGCAGAAGTGCCAGTGGCAGGACTGCACCCAGTCCTTCGCCGACCCCGAATCGCTCTACAACCACCTATGCAACGATCACATTGGCCGCAAGAGCACAAATAACCTCTGTTTGACTTGCAAGTGGAAGGATTGCGGGACCTCCTGCGCCAAGCGCGACCACATCACCAGTCATCTTCGGGGTGAGTTCTTATTTGCTCTGTCTGTCCGAGAGACTAACGCTTCCTCAGTCCATACGCCGCTCAAGCCTCACGTCTGCGAGGTGCGCACCCGATTCTCAGATACCGCCACACGTTCTCATTCATCCGCTCCAGATCTGCAAAAAGTCTTTCAAGCGGCCGCAAGATCTGAAGAAACACGAGAAGATCCATACTGAGGAACATCACGCTCAGCACAAGCACTCGAAGGCCATCACTGTTGCCGATCCTGCTTACTCTTCCCGCGTCCGCGGTGAAACTGCCGATGCGGGTCGGACCATAGGCAAGCCGGCTTCTGGTAAAGGCAACATCCCACCTCGTGCACCGTCTCATTCGTCGACTGCATCGGATGGTACGTCTGGTGCGGGTGTTCCCCGAATCCTCAGTGTTGATCCAGCCCACAGGCTCGTATCCTAACTTCCCCCCGACGCCATCGCCTGGTTACTCTCCGCCGCCGAGCGATGAATTTTCCGCGCAGTGGGAGAGCGTGAGCGCTGGCTCGAAGCGATCGCACGACTATTCGGTTGGGGACTTCTTCACAGATGTGAAGAAAACGGAGGCTGAGCCCGGCATACGATCATCGTAAGTGTCCTCTCGTAACGGAAAGGCTTGGCTTTTGGGGCATTGTCTTGGCGTTCTGGGCGCAAACTGAATCTTGGCTATGATGTTCCTATCTAGGAATGGCCGAACGCCTGAACCACATGTCGTATGCTGGACTGACACGGTGCTGGACCCGGCTTCAATCCCCGTTCTGTGTCCGTCGACATCCGCACACTCCGGAGGAACTTGCGGCTGTCAATGACTTTTTGATCGCGCTAGGACGAGATGCTGCGGATTCGCGAAGTGGGTTTAGCTTCCCTGGTGCGGACGCCTATTTCGACAGCATGAATCTGAGCCAGCTGGGCCTAGCCGGCATGCCCGGTATTCCGCCGGCGACAGCAGCTCACGATGCGTACCCGCACTCCCATTCGCAGCCCCCCTTCGCCTCATACTACCACCAACATGCACCCGTCCGCGCGGTCTGGCTACACGGGACATCATCATCCGCAATATCCGAATGCGGTCTATCCCAA